GGCATTCATCTATGAACAAACTGAAAAGAAATATATCAAGTTTGTCTTTAAAAGCCAAACTGCATCAGGAGTTTTATTATATCACTGAACTGCAAGTAAAAATGTAGTAATTACAAAGAAAGCAGCACAGCAGCTTCTCTTACTAGTTGGCATTTTGATTAAGACCAAGCAATGATGGCAAATGGTCACTAATTCTAAAGCAAATTTTCTGATCTGAAGTGAATTATCTTAAGTGATAATGGATATATGAACATGATTTATTTTGAAATCAGAACTTCTCTCTCAGATACAGCCTATGCTTTTAAAGTCAGCTGAGATGCTTTCCTACTAGCACAGAATTGCAGACTTCCTAAGAGTCAAATTTGTCATGCAATTGTCAAAAGGAAGTAACAACACTGTTTAAATTTAATAATAAGGCAAATCTTTTAATACAGAAAAGTTATGCATATTGCTTACATGTAAAGACTTGATACTTATTTATAGCTTCAAATGAAAGAGATGTTATTATGAATTTTTAAATATATCAATTTTAAATGCATATTATATTCAGGTTTCCTAAGATCCGGCTTTAATTTTACATTACCAAAAGCTTCCTGAAGATCTTAACATGCACATAATTGAAAATACTAAATACCTAAGGCAACCCTAGAAGCTTCAATATTTGTAGCAGACAATGGCTCAAATGTAAGGGTAAAAACTGATTATTCATTTTTGAAATACATATAAGAACTTCCCAAATCAATTGCATAACCCATTGTATCTCAGCCTGGACTCAGTCATCTCATAAACTCAGGGATTAAAATGGAGAACCATCTTCATCAAATCTTTATCACAAAATTATCAGTCACTGGCTCTGACACAAAATGACTAATTTAGGCTAGAATCTCTAACAACTATTTTTAAAAAAAGTGATATTACCCACAAAATGAATACACAATTAAAAAGTAGAAGTTCAGAGCCTTTCTATAGGAAATGCAAGACATTAATTGATTACCCATACAAGTCAGTGGATCATTAGTTCCCATGGCAAAGCAGCAGAAGATCCCCTATTACCAGGACCACATTTGTCATTTCTTGGATGACTATTAACAAAAAAAGAAAATTAAAGCAGCGTGTATCACCCCTCCAAATCTTTCACATGCAAACAGATGGTGTATGAACAGTCTCTAGCTCTCTCCAAAATTTTAACTGGGGAAAAAAAAATGCACCACTACTCAGAAAGGCCAGTTTCCATTTGGATGCTCACGTTTGCATGGTCCAGAAAAAAAAAAAAAATCTGAAAACAAGCTGAAGAAAAACTCAAAGAGTTGATCAGAATTCAAGTTGTTCACAAAGCAAGCACGTGGAAAAAATCACAGAAGCGAGGTCACAGCTCAAAATAAATAGCCTCGTATCTGGCAGTTACTTTAGATTGATTTATTTTTAACCTAAATATCTTACTTGTCCCTCAGCTACAAAGGAAAAATCAGAAGTTGACCATTTTTTCAGATTTACTCCTTCATTAGGAAATGTTTGGGGCATTTCTGAAAGTCATTTCTAGAAGTATATAAAAACAACACAATCACCCGATGCAATACAAATGCTGCATTACTGAGGCCTTTGAGCTTACAGCAATGCTCAGTTGTCATCTTTCTTTAGAGATATGTTTTCAGGAAAATTAAAGTTGTTACAGAATTGCAACAAACATGTCAGCACAGCAGACCACAAAACAAGCCGATTCCTCCACTTGCCTCGCACATATTTCAGTGAAGTTTTGGCGTCTTATGCTAACTGTAACAAATCTAAAGGTTCGGTATGATCTTCCTCAAATTGTAGGTTATTTTTTCATTAATTTATTTTCACCAAGCATAGTGCATACTACCTCATCAGAAAAGAAGGAAGATAACGGTTTCATACTTACAAGTTTGAACCAAGGGCAGTTGGTATTCAAGCTAGCAGAGTTTTGCTTCCTGTTTGCCTGGAATAGCAGGAGGCTTCCAATGACCTTACTTATAGCACAGATTCAATTTATAGAGACAGAAATCTCACATTTGCACCTCGACATATTGGGAGGTACATTACAGTGATATAAAAGTTTAATTTTCTCTCCTAAACCATACCTGTTTAAACCAATAAAGAACTAACATCACTTTTACTCACTCAAATGTCATCAGTAGTTATGAAATGTTGTACTGTTTATGCAGAATTCATTTGGAATGCAGGGATGTGACTTACAAATGTCTTTGACTCATTCACATAAATATGCATGCATGCCATTTATAACAGTAGCCTTGATGAGAACACACAGTGTAACTGGCTGCAAGAAACGCTTAAGAGGTTTACATTAAAACAGAATATAGAACAGCGGTTAGAAATCACAGAACAGGTGACACCTTACTCTGATAACCTGGTGATAAAAACTGCAGGATATGATGTATAGGTTGTGGCATTACTACTTTACAGTTTGAATAGCATTCCTCCGATACCTCTCAGTTTTAAAAAGATAAAATACCCCAGGCAGACCAGATATATTAATTGGGATTAATTAAAAATATATATATACTGTGCCTGCCTTCTAAGCTGTAAAGCCATTCCAAACTTCCTAATTTTTTACCTAAATGACTTATAAAATCATTATATAAATCTTTTAAAGCCACAATTATCTCTTGGTTTACGAGAAACAATTCACATACTCTCCTTATCATATTGATAAGACTTGCAATTCAGCAAAACCAAACCAAACTGAAGTGGCGCAAACAATGCTATAAAGTTCAATCTAGCTGAAGATTTCCTGTGATTGTCAAAGAGCTTTCCAATAAGAAAACTCATACAACCTCTAGACACCACTGTTTCTAATTCTTGAAGTATATTGCTCTGCAGATCAGAAAATTGCCTGTGCTGACATTAAGCCAAATGAAGCCGAAGGGCTTTTAAGTCTGCAAGAAAAAAAAAAGCAAGAATTCTAAGTTGAACTTCAGTAATTTTTTTTCCAGGTATTTGATATCCAAGAAAGTCTAAGGAGACTAATACAAGACTTGTGCTTCTGTAATGGCTCCTTCTGACTTTTCATCTATTGGTCATGTACTCGTGTCTGGTAACACAACATCCTGGTAAGACAGAAAAACATCCCTAACATCCATAAACACTGATTCTATAACATGATTATGTCCAGAATTCTTATCAGAAATTTGAACAAATACATTAAAAATCCTGCTCACTAATTCTGTGTGCTTAATTACATAAGCTCCCATACAGATGAAAAGTTATTGGAAAAATTTACCAAATGAAATTTCCATTTAATACAGTACAGAACAATTCTTAATAGCCTGGTGAACTAATGGCAATTTAAAAAGACGAATACCGAAACATTAGAGGACAATTTCACACGGCCAAGTAAGAGCAAGTAACACCCGTTGCTGTTGCAATCAGCTACTTTTTAGACACCCTCCCTGAAGTACAATAATTTTTCTAGAATATTTCTATCAACATGTAGTTACACCCATCCTACATACTAATACAGAAGCTCCAACTGACAAGGCCAGTCTTTTAACTGTAGCTTACGTAGTGCTACTGAGAAGAAAATCTATCGTGCAGACAAGAAAGGAGTGTTAACAATCAACAGCAAGCTCTAAAACAAAATTTATTAATTGTAGCACACACAGAAGAAGCAGAATTTGTCCAACAAACAACTAAGCAGGTAAAACTTTGCACTGGTATTTAAACAAATGATATCTGAATACATAGTACAAAATCACTTTAGATTGTCTACACTAAGAACCCATGGACAGCAGATATAAAGGCTGTTTGTAAGCAAAAATAAGAACAGCTGAGAATTGTTGGAAAGCAGTGAAAATTAAAACCAACCATTCACTTCTATTCTTGATGGTCACCCAAAGCACCAGTCAACAACTCCTCTGCAAAATTTACAATCCTGAGCACACGACCAGAGTCACACTAAAGAACACACATCATGCCCACAGTTCAACTGAAAAGGCCAAAGTGGATACAGATTTATTCTGACATCAATATAGTTTTGGTTTCATTACTTTCTGAGGCTTAAGTAGAGGAGAACACATGTCACTTGTGCAAGATGTAAAACTGCATCTGGTGTGTCTCAGTAACAGGGCTTTACGATTCCTTTATATGCTGCTGAAGTTGTATGAAGACACTTGTCATGCAAACAGACAAAATTATGCCAAGAGAATAAGGATATGATATCACACTGGTTGTCCCATGTGTGTAACTGTGATATAAGGGTGAAAGAACTGCATACTATTTTGTTTAGTAATAAACTGAATATATAATAGTACTTTCTTCCTTTCCAAAAAAAAAAAAACAAACAAAAAACAACCAAACCAACCAACAAACCCATTCACTATTAAATACCAAAAAGAATAAAAGGACAGAAGGACAAAAGAAACTCTAGGTGCACTTCTAGTGCTAGTTAGTAACACAAATTCATGACATACATCACCTTGTAACTTCAGTTAGACGGAAGGTAAATTTTCACAACCTACCAAAATGCACCGTCATCTCAGACAGACATCACTATTGAGTTTCAACTGTCAGTTTTAAAAAGGTACAGTCAAGTGTAACTTAAATAAACTCTTTTCCACTTCCTAGCCCTTATTATTAAATGCAGTCATTGACTGCAAACGTCACCCATTACAACTTAGGAACAGTTTTCATCTTATACATGTATTAAAATGGCATAACTTACAGCATTTCTGCTTCTCTCAATGAAATACTCCTCAAAATCTAGTTTCCTGATGTCATCAGCTGAGTGCTTGACTATCCTGTAATCATTATTACTGTAACTAAAATATGCTTTTTTTTTTGAGACTTGTCACTTTGTGACTTTTTATTGAGACTTTCCACAGCGAATGAAAATTCAAAGTCAACAAAATCAACATGAAATTATTAGTGAGATGTCTTCTATTGAATGACTTCTATCAGCATAAGGTTACCAAATATTTCCTGTTTTGAACATGTGCGTTAAAAAAAAAAAAGTTAAGGCCTACCTGCAAAAACACTGTGGAATCTCTCCTTGACCATACAGAGGAAACAAAAATGGTGTGTTGCCATAGCGGCCAAGGCACTGAAGAAACTTTCTTGTTGCCTGAAGACCTTCAAGAGTGTTGCAATCATTTTCCGACACCATTGCAATAGAATGAAGAATGAAGTGCTGCAAGCTAGGTGTTAGCTTTCGTGTTTTTAAGAACTGAGCAAATGTACTGTTCTTGTAGTCTGAGAAAAAAAGGTAAATTCTAGTAAAGGGCACAGCACAACACCTGTACTTTCTCACAGAAACATTTTTCTTCAGGCTGAACTATATTAAAATACACAAAGATAATTATAAAAGGAAATGAGTTCAATAAACATTGAACAAAATGGATAATGCAACTTCCATAAAGAAAACTCTCAGAAGAAAGAAATAACACTCTTCTAAAATATTTCAGAATAACACAAATCCACTGCATAAGAACACCTTAAAGAGCAACATCTAAATATGGCTCCCTCTGTTTATTATGCTATCTTCATCTAAATATATTTCTAAGTTGTGAGAAATGTGAGAAACTGGGCACATAAATCCATTGGTTTTGAAGTGCCTGAGGGTGGCAGATTACTCTGATCACCTGAAAGACGCTCATACAGTTGAATCCAGATTGATTTAGTTATTAGGTTGTAAATATGTGCAGAGAAGGGCCATTCAAATAATTTTTTTAGTTCACTTGCACGAAAAAAACCAGAAGTCAGTGATGAGGAACTTCCCCTTTAAATTAGTACTATTGCTGACACTTTCACTCCAAAGAAATACAAGTCTTTTAGGAGATAGTGAATGGAAGCATTTCTTCTTTATACATCTCTAAAAATATCAGTTACCTTAATAAAAACCAGTACTTTTTCAAGAAAATATTTCAATACCATTCACAGATTTGTTCTTAAGCTCATTTCAATTATGTGAAAATTCACAGGAATAAGCAGAACTACCAGCAGTGCTGTGCCTAGTATTATAAAGCCACTTATTCTGCTTAAGACTCAGCCTACAAACACAACTTACTGCCTGACATACAGCCATGGAAGTAACCGACTGACACAAATGTTTCTTTGGTTTGCTTTTTTTTTTAATTTAACCACAATGAACTCTTCCTGTAGAAAGTGTGACTTGCAATGGAAGTAATCAGTTCACGAGGAGCAACTTTAAAGTTGTGAAGTCCCTACATTATACTAACCTGCCTCAAAATACTTCCATTTACTTCTCAGGCTACTGTAAAGTACAAGAGCAAAATGCTGTTAACTATCTTTGGAAGTAGAATAAATCTCATGTAGTTTAGACACATAAATCAAAGAATTAATTTAAAACTGATGTAGGATTTTTTTTAATTTTGTTTTTACCTAACAGATTTTCTCAATACCACCTGTACCATTATTGTATGTACCTCTTCTTCTTCCATCAGCAAAAAAATTGAAGTTACCTGTAATCTACAAACCACCTGGGTTTAATGAGCTATTCCCCCTACAGAATTTTGCAGAGTTCATTAGATTGCTTCTCTAATCTTGCCAGATGATTCTCTATATTGACCAATTTTGTCCTGTGTACAGTTGAACTTTCTCTGATGTTTGTACCTAATCCCAGTGTCACATACAGCTCTAAGCAACCAAACTAACACAAGGGATTTTTAGAACTGTTCCTAAAGCTACCTTCTTTCAAAACATTGCTTAATGGATCTATGATCATGCTACACAAGCACTAACTTGGATCAGCCTGAAACTTACATTAACAGTTTAACTATTCCTGTCCTCATTTTTTTTTTTTATTTTTGGCCTGAGTTTATATTCTGACTCCAAGGACAGAGTGCAACACCACCTAATTCTTAGTATTCTCAAGTGTATAAAGTAGAGAGTAGGTGCCCATTACACTCCTTCTGTTAGCCACTTTCCTCTTTGACCTCATACTCAATATATTTGTGACAACACATCTTAAATATATTCTCTCCCCAGACAAGACAAAAATTAATAGAAACACTCTGAACTTGCTCTGTCAGGTATTAAATTACATTTATATCCTAAATTAAAAACTCTATTTTCTCCATTTCTGATATTGTGGCAACATACTGTCAAGTAAGACTTGTATCCTATCTAAAGAAGCAGAGAAGAAATATCAGATACCTCACACCATATTAAAAAATCCCTGAGAGGAAAAAAATACAAAACATAAACAACATTAAAAAAAAATATATAAAACATCTTGAGAACTTACTGCAATATACAATTTGTTAAAGAAAAATATAAATAATAAATTATGTTGAGGGAAACAGAAGAACAAGTATACAAGCAGAAGAATTTAACATTATAGTGAAAAGTTCAAAGTATACTTTGAAAATCAATCTATAAAAATAAGTAGAATGAGAACACAGGAGAGCTATCAGAATTTTGCCTGAATGAACGGACTCGCAAGACAAGGGTGTACACTGTTGATTGAAACACTACCTTGGTATTCATCAGGGTGCTGTTCATACTCCAAACAAAATGTCAAAAATTTCATTAGCATTCGTTTTTCCACCATCGCAAGCTGCCTGCTGTTGAAGACATCTGCTCTGGAACAAGGTACCTGAAAGATACGTATTTTTTAACAATTCCAGATACTTTCAATACTCCAGGTAGGAAAACTATGGAACACCATAGGAAATTGAAATTTTTGTTAGATGATCAGTTGTCTTCTATTACACATATTTACTACATATTTCAATTATTTCTAAACACCACAACAAGAAAAGTTACTTATTTTCTGCAAAAATACACTAAAACCTTTTTGTTCCTCTCTTTCCCCTTTATTTTTCATCAATTTAACTTGCATCTCTGACTGCAGAGTTAATGAAAAGAGCTTTCATTAATTAACTATGCCAAACATCTCCTCTTACCGTTATCAGACCAATGACTCCTCCTGAAGCCTATGCCAGGGAACTGAAAAGCTAAGACCTGTGAGTCTTTAAGAAGTGACTGCTGAGTCAATCATGGTCTAAATATTTGACAACATATATAACGCAAAGATTTACAACAGTAACTTACTGGTATGCACATGCATATCCAGTCTTAGTTTAATTAGTTTTAGGTTTCTCGTGTTGTGTTTTAATATTTGGATATATCATTTACAAATCTTTTTTGTTTTTAAAAAGAAATAAAAACCCTTTCCTTTTTTTGAGGGAAAATACTAGCTTATTGTTACAAAACTCTCATGTAACTTCAGAAAGTCTGTTTGTTTTTTTTTTACTTTAAAAATATGAGGTTAAACACAGACAGTACATAATTCTAAGATACCTGTTCTACTTTTCCTTCTCGAAAGGCAAGAATTCGTGTTGCATTTTTGAACTCTGCATATCTGCTAACGTTTGACTTGATCAGAAGTTCAATTAATAGACCTCGGGAGTAAAGCAGCTGCACAATGAAGAAAAATAATATAATGAGTAAAGAGAAAATGCTTACACCAAAGAAAAAAAACAGTGACACCAATAGTTATTACATGTCAGATATTTTCTGTAACTATTTACAAGAACACACAATAAAGTAAAATCTGAATAAAAGCATATCAAGATTTAGTAGCTGCAAAATAATATTTAACGAATTAAATACAAAACCTGCCCACCAAATAGCACATAAATAACAGAAGTTACAAAAAAAAATGCCATTTACCTTGGATTTGCAGGGACTTATACTGAACAGTAGCCAAAAGGCAGATTTTAGGAGATTGAAGATTAAGACAAATATGACAGAATACTGTGTCTTCTTCTAGTAAAAGGCACAGTAGCAGGAATAACTAATTTTACTCAGGTTTTATGTTACAGATTAGGTATTTTCACTTTCCAATAAAATTAGTTGCAATTCAGTGGTTCAGGTGCCAGAAAACTAAAACACACAATGAGAGAGGGACAGAAAATATGACAGTTTCACGGAAAAGTCTCACTAAAAATGAGGAGACACCCCCCAAACAGAAAAACTATTTTCATTTTAAAAAGAGGGAAAAGAGGGGTCTTCATTTAGATGAGACTTTTCTGTTTCTTCCTTTTTTTTTTTCCTTTTTCTTTCTTTTTCTTCTTTTTTTTTTTTTTTTTTTTTTTTATCTTTGTATTTAAGTAGCACAATTTTAGTTGAATGAAAAATTTCAGGAGATTTATTTTTACAGATTTCTAAGCTATGCTTTATGGCTTTTTTTATTATAAACAAACAGTAAAAAAGCCTTATTAAATAGCTCTTCTTTGTTTTATTAGTACTAATGCTTTCTTATTTGTCAAGAGAATGTATTTTCTGCCTCAAAGTACTGTAACAGCCTTCTTAAAAATGAAATGTATGTATTTTTTAAATTTCTGCACATTAAACAAAGTAAATGAAGCTGTATGAAGAGATACTAAGTTCCTACCTTAGAAACTAAATCAATATTAAACCTTCTGCCTTCTCTAACAATTTGGGAATATGTGATTTTCTTTGGTTCCTGGGCAGAAACTTCTGAGAGTGCAGCTTCACTTTTTCCCAATTCCAGAGTGGATTCGCCAGACGCTGCACCATGAGAACTTTCATTCTCAGAGTTTACTTCTGTAACGCTCCCTTCTGCTGCATTTGGTGGATCCGTGCTTGTAGCTTTATCCGATTCCCAGTTCTCAGCTCCAGGAACGGAGCTCTCCAGTGGTGAGCATTCTTTTTCCGGTTCTTCAGCAACCGAGGTTCCAAAGGCAGGCACCCGTGCTAGTGCACCAGCTTCTTCAACATCTTCAGCTGCATCCTGACTGAATAAAATCACAAGGGGAAGAAGAGAAAAAAACCACAAAAATTTAAAGAGTCTTTAAATCTTGTTTAAAGTTTTGAGCCTGTGCCAGGAACGGAAACCTCAACCTCCTTCTTAAAAAGCATTAGAATTTCTTTATCCTGGCCAAATCAGGTGTATTATCCACTAATGAAATCTGGCTCTTAGGTTGACTCAAGAGGAGTACATTTACTGGAGAAAGACAAAATAGAACACTTTTGTGTCCTTATTTAACAAAATCAAAGCGCAGAATGAACTTCACACGAAAATCAAAACTCTCATAGCCGTACCCAGTACATACCTACATAAACAAAATAAATGGAGTAATGAAACACTGACTGGGTTTTCTGTAACTAAAAAATACAACGTAAAACAACACCACCACCTCCAACAAGCTTGCAGAAGAAAACAGAAGTTCTTTATATAAACAGAGGCTATTTCCTGCGCATTACTGTAAAGAAACACGGAGTTTTGAACGGAAGCTGAAGTTAAAAATTTCCAGCAAGTTCGTCAGCAATCAAATGAATCAAATCAGCATCATTGTAAGTGAAAAGAGTTCAGCAATAATTTCACATTATCTTTTTTATCTTTACACCACAAGCCATTAATGCATTGAATAAACAATTTAATTTTGGATGAAAACTAACAAACTGTGATTTTAAAGGTGACCTGCACATGTATGGCATGACATTTCAGTAACTATCAGGATGCCTAATATTCACCAAACAGCAAGGAATTATTCAGCACATATAAAAATGCTCACTAGTGCATCAGTGGACTTAAAGAGGGAAGGAGGAGGCAAAGATTCTGTTCCAAGTAAGGAAGGAAGACAAATTTTCTCCTTTATACTGTTACTTGCTCATCTCACATGAGCTCGGGCAGCTTTTACAGGCTGATGAAAGTAAAGAGTTGGTGCCACAGCTTGCGTACAGCCACCAGGAAGCACTCATTCCTGAGTGGGGTAAAACACTGCTCTGGGAAATAATGGAATGGGTGTAAGGAAGAACTAATTAAACAAATCTGTTTCTGCACATTCATTTTTATCTGCTTTTGCTTCATACTGCAAACATTAAATAACTTTAAAATGTAAGGGACAAAAAAGCTGTCAAGTGCTCTTTAAAGAGTACTCTCTACTAAAACTACAAATGAAGATCAATTGTGGTGTTCTCTTTGGGTTTGTTTATATTATTTTCAGGAATTGTGAACATTAGGTTTGCAAAGATACGCAAATGCAGTAATAGTGAATTTTTTATTTAATCCATCATAAATTTTTATATAACACAGAAAGAAAAGAAACAACTCTTGATTCTGCTTTCTCCCAGAATTCTGCTTTCTCTTAATATACAGTCCAGCCAATTCTCATTTTAAAGATCCTCCTATTGCTTTTAAAAGATCAAAATTTGGATTTGCAGTACATTCTCTTTTTAAATACCACTGAAAAGCAGTATAGCAGAAATGTATATTTACATATTTTAACTCTATTCAATTCCCACTAAACAAATATATAAATCTACATGATTTGCATCTCTATGCATTTTATAACGAAAACCTGTACATAATCTAAATTCATGACATTCTTCCTATAGGAACAAATATTCCTGAATAATGTAAGAGCTGTCCATAAAAATCACTCAGGTTGAACTTTTGTACTGACAATTCTTCTGCTAATTCAGAAAAAAAATAATACATCTGCAGACAAATTGTTGTGTAAATTTAGAATATTATCTTCCACCATTCATCAATTAATGGTACTAACAAAGGGATATCTTAAAATGAATGTGTCTTATTAATGCCTTGCAACAGCAACCCCTTCAGATAGGTCAAATGAAAAATTGCCAACCAGCTGGTTAATTTATTCAGCACAGGTGTTCACTATTTATTTTTCAGCCATTCGCCTTTTTTCAATACCGCTTGCTGTAGACACAGTATTCTTTTCCTTTGATGGATGCACTTTGTTCTAAGGCCATTCATTTCAGATTTGCACTGTGTATATTATACTGCTACCCAGCTGTTTATTCTTTCAAAATAAATGTTTAATGGTTACTTCATAGGAGTTATAAAAGTTAAGCAAAAACAACAGAATCTAGGCAGAATGTTTAAGTTGTCTGAAACACAGTAATTGATTCTCTCAGAAAGTTTAAAGTTATTCTGGAAAACTTTTTCTTTGCTATCTTTGCTAGGTTCATTAAACTTATGGATCTTTCTTGTAGGGGGCTGGTTTTTGCGTGTTTGGTTGCTTTTTGTCTGATGATACAGATAGCATGCTGCTTTCAGACTAATGTAAATGCTTAAAAGCAGATGCAGGACAAAATGGAAGATTCAAGTATTCAGTACTTACTTCTAAAAATTGTGAAATCTTACTGTTAAGGAACTTATTTTTGAGCCAGCCACCAGTCAATAAAATACCGTCCTAGGAAATTCACTTTCAAAATTAAGGAAGTATGAAACTTTGAAGATGATTTAATATTGATTCTGAAAACAATATTTGTTATGGCAGTAGGATTGCAATTACAATACTCAATTGATACCTGCTTTAAAATAAGCATAACATTTTACCTGCAGAAAAGGTCTAGCAACCATTAACATGCAATAAACAAATTCTGAGCCTTCTTCAGGCTGCAGAAACTGCATTTATGTATCGTTTTTGTTTGTTAAACTGTTTGTGACATTTAAATAAATACATAAATGTTTTTATATGAATACCTATTTGGCAGTGCTTCCTTCAGCAACTTAAGATGTTTACTAGAAGACTCAGGGTTAAACTTGCATAGTTCACCCACAGAACCTTTCCAGAGTTCAGAATAATGTTCAGTTCTGAGCAAAACCCAAGAGATAAGAATAATGAATGTAAAGAAATTCAAAAATTGAGACTTCACACAATTACCATTTGTTATTACTACAGTTATGCACTGATCAACATTTTTGCTTCACAAAGTTACTTCCTTGTTTTCCTAAGTTTTGAAATGACATAACACGATTCTGATAAGCTACATCCTCAGTTTTAAGATGGCATACCATTCACAACGTACTTCTGCAATAAGTAGTCATGAAAGTACTTCCAACTGAGCAAGTATTTTTTACATGTCATAGGTAAAGTAAGGGATGAGTTACCTTACTTCAAATACAAAACATTTGGGGCATTTTTGCTTTTTAACTTCTGTTGAACTTCCAGAAGCCTCTGATCATGCAATTGTTGACAAAATATCGTGGCTAAGTACTGTTAAACAGATTACATACAATGAATCTAAAAAAATGACAAAGGACAAATATCACTGCAGCATTTTAGCATAGTCAACTATCTTACAGTTACAGTACTATGGTCCATTTGCATTTCCTGTTTTACATGATCTCTCTTTTTCACAAACATATGTGTTTAACATTTAGTAGGAGAATAAAACCTATTAACCAAATTAAGAATGAAAAAAATCAATAGATGGTAGATCATAACAAATGAGGAATTAAACACACAACATTTACTGAGATGTAAATTACTAGATGAAAGTTGGTCAACAAATTACACTGGATTCAGATGAAGCAGTTTAAGAAGGACCAATTGGTTTCAAGGAAGTGCACGTGATTTCAACAGAAGTACAAGCAGATCATGGACATTGTAGAGTTCACAGTTACTTTTTTAGACCAACTGGAAGTATGGTAGGGTGGTGAAGTACTTGAAGCCAGAAACACAAAACAATAGTTTAACAGTGAGCATATGAAATTATTATGTATTTCTATATTTATACTTACTCTCCAAAACAGAAAGCTTCTACATGTTGAATAGTTTTATCCTTCTTATTAAGAGAAATAACTTCTTCATTCTCAAGGATCAACTTTCTCCAGTCTTCACACTCATCCTTGATATCCGTATTTTGCTTACAAAGAACAATTATGAAATTACATTTTGTACTGTGCTGGTTGTTCTTGATCTATATAAATCTATTCCCAAATAATCTGTTGTACCTCTGTATATTTAAAAAAAAGAATAAAAGAATTGTTTTATTTAATTGTTTTAATGCCTTCTCCATACAGATTTTTGGAGTTAAGCAAGTTAGAGCTGGTTACTGTAGCAGAGTAACATTTGTGCTACATCTAGCTCTAGGGATCTGAAAATAACACTAAGAGAAACGCAAGTTTTACTAAAGATTTAATATAAATTTGAATACAGTCAACTGTAGAAGTTTCCCACGGTTGGGTTATTTCCAAATCTTGAGACAGAAGTCAGTGAACGGTGACCATATTAGAAAATACAATGATCTGGGTATTATGTTCATCTGTCCACACAGCAATCTCTGAGCCACACAACAGAATGTTGAGAATATTCCATTTGGAGACTGAGCAACTCCACTGATTATGCCAGAAGTTAGCACTTCATAATAGTTACGAGAGCAAACTGAGGAAGTTCCATTTTCTAAAGAACAAGAAGCTCATAATGTCTCATTAAATAATATGATTAGTCACTGGCCAATATAGTCCAAATGCTCAGACTTTTAAATAAATAGCCTCTATTTTATTTTATTTATTTATTTATTTATTTATTCTATTTTATTTGTAACATTCCACAAAGAGAAAGAATATTGTGATAATACCTCGTAATAAATTATGCCAACAACCGGAATTTAACGACAATGATTAAAAATCATTTGAGAAATTTTTACCTGATTTTCTTTAATCCAGGACAATAATCCTGAAAAACTAAAACTGGCCCAGTTTCCACCATAGTAATTTCGCCTGAAAAAAAAACCAACATAAAAGAATGGTGAAACGTGATGGACGGAAATCTTACAGCCTTTTCAGACTCAATGAAAAAATAATTGAATTTTGAGACATTCAAAACAGACTTTACAGTTATAAACATTAGTGTAATATTTCAGAATTCTCAATCAGATGTACAATCTCAGTTTTCATTCATCTCTGACCAAATAAATTGTTGCCCAATATCCAATTATTCAGATGGGAAGTTGAATAATGCTGAGAAAGGACATAGGTTGCTGTAAGTAAAAGAAAAATATAGTTTATGCTTCTTCAGCCAACACTGATCCTTTAACTCAAGTATGTACATCGCTACAATCATTTTATTTAATGGGGAGCCAAATAAATACACCTGCAAGTTTCAGCTTCAGTTCTCAGAATAGGCAACAAGGGTTTTCCAAATATATGTACCACACACAGCTTTGGGAAGGGCAGGACTCACCAGCTTTGTTACACAAACACAGCTAGTTTGCTTCTGACTGAAGCTGAGCTGAAAGTTAACCATTTCACTGCGTGCCATCTCTAACACATAAAGGTAGCTGTGCAAGGAAAGGTTAAATAAAATCATCTCAGGTACGGACAGTAAAACTCACAACTCTGTTATCCATTATCCTAACTAACAGAAAACTCACTATTGTTTATCTACATTTCACAGAACAGATTATGCTTACTACAGACTGTTGAGATGCCATGGCAAAAATCACGATTAAGCTGTATATGCTGTAGGTGGAGCCAAAGGAACTGATTCATAGAAAACACACGCACCTTCTTGATTACTTTTCAGTTTATATTTATCACCTTCTGCCTTGAAAATACTAGCTTACCCATTTAAATAAAAGAAAATCAACTGCACTGTTGTTAACCAAAGATCGTCTCTGCTCCCTGCCTTTCTGATTTTTCTAAGAAATTTTCTAAACATCAGCTAGATGAACGGAATTTTGTTACCACACATATCAGATACTAATTATTGAACAACCTACATAGGAAAAAAATGCAACTGTACCAATTGCATTTGATAAAATCAACAGTATTTGCAAAATAAAAAAAGCTGCTTTGGGATTTAACTCTGTTCTCTAGCACTGTATTCCGGCTCCTCAGGGGAGTGAAGGGTACCAAAATGCCCTCTGGAAAGGATACTTAATGCTGCTGCATATACTGAAAAGAAGGATTTTGTAAGGAGGGTATGTTTGTTTCATAGACCAATGCAAAGACTGATAAATCCAATGAACTTAAAACATTATCATCACTACTTCAATTTTTGAATTGCATAACTATGAAAAAAGTAAAAACTTAAATTTGTGGTTGCTTCCACTGTTTCAGATGGGGACATTTTTGACAAGGCTTATCTGTACTGACAAAGACTTAATTAAGAATGTCAGTCCCTTTACAGCACCAGAGCTATGCTCTGTACTAAGTTGCTTACTTAGCATATGAAAGACAGATGTCTGCTAAACAGTGCCTAATTGTTCCTGACTAGAAACTGACCTAAAAAAGTCTTTCAGCTTCTGCAAGGCAACAGCAAAGAACATAAACAGGACATCTTTTGCAAAGACAACAAAATATAACATTTACTGAATTAAAGTGGCTCAAACAAAAAACCACATGGTTTAAGGCTATGAACTGCAGAGCATTCGGTATATATTTGAAGGAAACTCAAACTGTTTATCCATACATTTGGTTATTCCAAGAATGACTTCATCTGTAGGTGTTATCAACGAGGAACTCCAATAACTTATAAAAGGGAGTTCCAAATTGATTCATTATATGAATGATATGGGAGAGGCTTAAAAGTACTTTTGATTCGTTACATTCATTTTGAATATAAAGAGATAAAGATTAAGTCTATTACTAAACACCTGATTGTGCTAGATTTTAGTCTGTGAAAAAGCAACCAACAGTTAAATGGAATGACAACTGTCCATTTCTTTTTCCTCAAACAGCACAGGTTATTGTCTTGCTTCTTCTTAAGATTCCACCGAATCAATCCCCATATATTATCTGCCACTTCTGGGACTTGCGAAACACCACAGCCACAAAGATTTATTTTTAAGGGAATCTGCTGCTTTAGCTGCAAGTTTTCTTGAATATGGAATACAATCTGGCTGTCAGTGCAAGCCAGGCCATCAATCACAGGAATTGCAGAAAACACCTGTCTAAAATTAGGACTAGGTTTCCTGAAACTATACCAATATAAATCCAATAGTAATTAGAACAAAAACATTTCGGTAAAAGAAATTAATATATTATTTTTGTAGAAAGTTACAGAAGTTTGTGAGCTGTCAGTCATCTGTGATGAAAACATTCCTCTGCTCATCAGGTGGATTTTCCTTTGAAATTGCTTTCCATTTTAACCAGCACTGATGTGAATCAATGTTTTCAACACAGAACCCCATAATTCCATTTTGAAGCTCAATCAGTTTTGAGAGGATGGTGCAGTCTTTCTCAAATGGCAAATGAATCACAGCTGTCTTCTGGGATCTGAGCACCATTCCGAAGTTATGCTACACAACCTCTAATATTAATCTCCACTGGAAGCACCAACTTTCAGATGTTTTCCCCCCAGCATTTTAATTCTTCCACTCTGTATTACGTGGTTAACCAGGACTGTTTAATTTTGCTATAAAACATCACAGAGTAAGGTAGACAAGATGTGATTATTTTGATAACGAGCAAAGTTCTTGTAAAACTCTTGAAGTAATTTGAAAAAAGTTCATTTATTTTACAATTTGGAGACCTTTGTAATAAAATATTTTTGTTGTAATTACAGTGAATACAGACTAAAATAAGGAATTAATTTGAGTAATGGTCAAGATCAAAGCTTAATTAAAGCTAAAACACCATCCTGAAATCTTGAGCACTGAAGTTCTTCTCTTGGTGCACTGGCAGACCACAGAGACTAATTTTCCATTTCTTATGATTATAATTGAATTATCCTCTTGATAAGGCCATGAAACACTGAAATACGTAGTTGTGCCAACACACATTCTTAAGGAGTAACTGTTTAGTTAGAAAATATTTTTTCTGTCAAGTAGACAGAGAACAGATTCTTTGCATAGCAGAAGTTATTCCCTATATGCTATTTGTTTAAAACTCCTGTTTTAAGAGCAGCTTCATATGAGTTAAAATAACCTGCTTATAGTTCTGATTTTTCTAATCCAATATCTAGATTTTACAGTTAACATCAGAATTCACAACCTGTATTTTTGACAGGTTTTACAAATGCAACCCAAGTACAGTTTCACCTCTTAAAAAAAAAAAAAAAAAAAAAAAGCTTGATTTTCTCTTCTATATTAGTTTGTGATATTTTTCCTTGTTATTATCACTTTTTTTCCCACAAATACTCTGAAAGAATTTGTAAATCCCAGCCTAGAGCAGTAAAACTGCAAATTGTTTCCAGCATGTCAGCGTTTCTGGAATCTGAAGCAATACCAAGTGTTACCTTCTGAAGACAGATTGCAATTTTAGAAACTGAAAACTTTTGAAAGCATGATTTCTGTTCTCACTCATGTTTTATTCGAGTATTTCATAGACAACCCCTGTGTAAGAAGATTGCCTCTCTGAAAGCTGTGTCTTAACAGCCGTGGTGTAACAGTCAAAGGTGGTGATGCCCGACAAAAAAGCTGCTGACACTTCATGCTTGGTCTCAAGAGCTGCCGCTGTGTCTGCCTTGCATTTGATCTTTCACAAGGAAGTCTCTTGCCATCAGAGTAGCTGTCTTTTGCAAAAGAAGTTACTGCCACATCGATTCTAAGGATTTCAAAACAAAATGACTTCTGCTTCAAACCCATAAAGTTTCATGTGCCATCTATTAAGTACACACACTTTGATTTGAAATTCCCATTCTGTCACAGTAAATGTGTTCTGGAGCATGGAAAGTTCTCATACCAAGAGAAACAGTTAAACTCAATGTCCCTGAGATCCTCCAGCTCAACCAAAGGGTGATGGTGGCAGTCAGTTGTACTACCTTAATTACGCTGTATCCTCAGATAAGAAAAATAGCAAGGCTAATCATCACAACCCAGCTGAGACAGTTTTATTCCGTAATACCCGAGTTCATATTCCAAAACAACATAAAAACTGCTTTTTCAGATAAGGTTAAAAGATAGGTGAATTAAGGTTTTTTTTTGTTTTGTTTTGGTTATTTTTTTTGCCTAGGTTTCTTTTTGGAAAGTTAAATACTCTTCTGTTTTTCTTGGAACAAAGTGATTTGGTTTGGAAGCAACTTTTTCCCTGTTTGCTGTACTTACACAGCTGTGTCACTTCACAGGAGATCAAAAAGAAGACTATATGGAAACAAAGGTTGTGTCACATATTTTTAAAAAGTTATGAAAAAAAACCTGAGACAGACATACTATGAATTGGAAGAAACTGCACAAATATTTATCTGAGCTTTTCAATACTCAGATAAAACAATTTTGGACTCCAGGAACTTTTAAGTACTCCACACTGAACCAAGATAAAAAAATAAGAAAGACGAGGTCACAACAAGCAAAGAGACATGCGAAAGAGAATTGAGAATAAGAGAGAAGTTAAAATCCTCTATCTTGACAGTCTTCAAATTAAACTCTACCTACAAGATAAGAAGGACATACAGAACACATTTATGATCTAAAAATACTATGTTATAGATGCTGAAAATCAAATTAAAAACATGTAGCTAAACATACCTCATCTCCAGTATCTCATCCTCAGTAAAGAAACCAGTACATAATTTTATTCATAAAAGAAGATGATAAGCAAAGGACCAAAATTAGAAAACATACTGAACCACCAGGAGAATATCCTATGCATATGAACTATTAGTGTGGGAGGTACAGTCACTTAAAGTAATCAACTTTTAGTCTGCTCTGCCTTCCTTCACATCTTTGAGTTTAAACGAGGTGCCGATCTCCACATTTTAAATTGCAAATTACTTCTCTAAATCATTTAATATCTATCCTTGAAAATTCACACGTCAACAGCTCATTAATATCTACAGTAAATGTAGCTCTCTAAAAAGAACCACAGATTTTACGTTTATTGAGACAGATAGCTGGCACAGAGAAATAGAGCTCCTTCAATTACCACTTGGCAGAAGCTACCTCTAGTTTAAAATCCATCTACAGGAATTTATGGCAACACTGCAGTGAAGTGACTATTTTGAATAAGATTAGCTACTGTTGATAGCAATGCTTGGACAGTGTTTATAAATCAAACTTAGAACTTAGTATTTTATAATAAGCCACTTCAAAACTATCTACCATAATCACCTATCCAGTATATTATGATAAACACAAACATGGCTGGAGATTAAAAGCAATAAAATGATAATGAATGCAAACAAATTATAAACAAGACTTCATCCATATATGTTTTCTAGACTTGTACCTAATGTAACTCAGACCTCAGTGGAAAACAGAAGACAGAAATTAATTGGAGTAGTACATCTAACACAAGTAATTCAGTAACCCAACAACTTATTTGCTTATGCTTTGAAAACAATTTTAACAGATGATCCTTCAAGACAGGAACAACGCAGATCATTAAAGAGATATTCTGAATATAGACAGATTTTTATTGATCAACTTCCAATAAGCTCAGTAAAATAAAATTTGAAAATTTAACAGGAAATTAGCCTACTGAACTAGACATACGCAAAGTAAAATTTAAATATTCTAATTCAGATGAAGTCTTAGAAAGTTTGCCAGAGATACAACTTTTCACTTCAAATTCAAAGGGCATCAGGCTTTTTTGTGCGTATTTGTTATTGTCATTGGTACTTCTGCAAGAACACTATTATGCTTGAACAACAAAAGCAGACGGTATGAAATGCTTTCCTATTTATGAGGGGTTGCATGGCACAAACACTTTTTTTTTTTTTTTTTTGCCAATTTCAGGATTTTCGACCACAATTCAGTGACCACACCACCAATTACAATGCCGGCTACTTTGGAGTGAAAATCACCTCACTTAAGAACACCTTTTCCTGACCCAAGGAGCTTGCAGCCTGCACAAGAGTTGCAAAATAACTCCACAGGAGAAATAATTTTAAAAAAAGGAAGCATTTTTTATCATAATAAAAGCATTGGTGAACCTAATTGAGCATATTTAAGTCCAAACATTAATAAACAAAATCTATAATTCACAGTTCTAATTGCCAGCTTCTCTAAGTTTTTTGAAAGGTTCTTCATCTGTGCATAACTTTTGCTAGGATGAAGTGCATCACCTACCCTCACTCCAGCCAAGACAGGAAGCCAGAGACACTGAGGGCAGTTAACAGTCAACTAAGCAATCTCAAATTGCATTTCACACAAATTTTGAACTTCAGTATGAATTCATACTACACACAAGAAAAACTGGTAGGTCCTTGGAAGGGCTGTGGGTAAAAGACATTGCAGAAGTTTAATTTTGAACCAGTACAGATCAGAATGAAGTGGAGAAAACGTATCCTTGTTAAGCTCCTGGTATGAAGTGCAAGGAAAACTGAAAGCACGTATCTTATCCTTGTGAAAAAGACTCTAAACCAAGGTGAGGGCATACGTGCAATTAACAAGAAGTTTAGAAGAAAGCAAGACCTCAAGAATGATGTAAAAACAAAACACTGTGCAAACAATCAGAGCATCCAGGCTCACAGTAGTTTTGCTGTTAAAACCTCAAAACCTCCACCTGTCATTCTACTAAAACTCAACTCCTACCAGCAGGAGAAATAATGGGCTGCCTGTAACTCAACCCCACTGGTTATAAATGGAGTTATGATTTTACACTTACACATAATTCTGGTTTTTTTTCCCCACTTCAAGTTTTACCAAATCATCCAATTTGGTCACGTGTAGAAATATTTACTACAATTGAGACGAAGTATAGAAATCTGTTCAACCTCATAAATTTATTATGCATTTTAGGCTACGATGATATTTAGCAACAGCAGAGCCACTGAGGTAGTCCTTGCTTGCTGCTTACAACCCTTTCTCACAACTGCAGCAGCCAAACTCAGGAAATTATACTGTGTAAGCACGCTAATGACCGGACTGAAAGCAGCAAGGGAGTGGGAGACAGCTGCAGCTAAGATGAGGCTGCCAAAAAAAAAATATCTATGTAAATCATACCCTGATAATGCACAATGAACTATATCAGTCATAGTAGGGGTGCCTAGCATTAAAGTCGTATGAAATACACTCCATTTGTTATCAACCAGAAAAGCACAGACAATAAAGCAGCCTCGAATGCTGCTCAGTAGTAACTAAGATTGTCCCAAAAGTCAGATGAGAAATTCAGAGCCTTGAAGGTTTGTGTGGTTATCTGAAGCTCAAGAATTTGTCTCATGTGTGCCTCAGAAACCAAAGCTCTAGACTTGAGTCATGACACTCAATTTTGCTGAGCAGTTGTACAAATAAACTGGGCTTTAGAGACCTTTTTTTCCTTAAAAGCAGCATACATCATAGTGTAAAGTTATAAAGTTTGTAAGAAAATTGCTATATTTGGCTAATTAGTAAAGAGAAGTAGTAAAATGAAAGGATGCTATGAACGCACTACTCCAAGCACTCCTGCAAATCCTTTTATTTCAAAGTGTAAAAGAGGAACACTAGTGTTCTGCACTCAAACTTATTCAGTATCTGATGAAGACAGAAACAAAGAGTGCTCTGTGAATCCCTTATCAGCCAGACTTCACGATAACCAACTAAAAAGCCAAAACACTTGTATTATCTTCTATAGGCATTGAAACTTGATACAAAGGAGGCAGCAGTAAAACATCAGTCATCAAGTAATAATGGCCCAGTTTAAAATCCTCACACAATGGGGTATATAATAAGGAAGGGCATTAAACTTGTAACTATTCCCATGAGAAAAGAAGCTACCAATAGCATCCTTGACCATATCATGTATGTTACAGATTACTAACATCACACGCAAAAACTGCAAGCTTTAATGATGGAAATCACACCAAAATAGAATAGAAATTTCTTAATGCCAGGTGAGCATTAAGGATACAGGAGAGAGTGACCAAGACACAGACAGATTTTTAGCCAATTTAACTCTTAAAAAGATAAACTATTCAAGTAACTTACGAATCAACATGAAGAACCCTCTGGCCACTTCTGGCACATGCTGCTGCAATAATAGATTCAGGCAGACCTGAAAGAATACATGCATTTTTTTAGATCTCAGTGTGCTAAGATAGCTTAAAAGTTGAAATAAAATTAGAAATCTGTTAGCAAAAAGCAATTAAAAAATTAACCCTATCATTAAACTTTTTAATACCCTTATGCTACTGAAATAATGAATGCTAATCTGTGTCCTAGTTTGCCTATTAGCATCACCATATTGAATGCAACACTTTAATTACTCTCTCTTATTAGTAGCATAGCACATACCACTTGCAAACAGTACCAACTCTGAGTTAAAACTCATCACCAACATCTTCTCCTGGTGCCTCGCTGTCTCTAACCAGGTTGAGCAGATGCCAGCATAACCATACCCAAATTTCCAAGGGACGTGCTGTAACTGTATCCTCTCAGGTACAAAGACTTACAATCTGAGGTTATTCTCGTTCCATTTTGTTCACTTCAAAGTGACTCACAAAGTGATGACCGCATCACAACCCACTAAAACAATGTTTTTAAATTTCCAAGTTTATGGTTGATGTTGCATCACCTCGCACGTTGCCCAGGGATGCACTGGAGGATATGAGGGTATAAACCTGCTATGATGGCACAGAACATCTGTTCAAGCCAAGTTGTGTTTTGCATGATGCTGTCTCCTCTACACTGTCTGTTGGTAAGTGAATCTAGCATGCACGAGTCTCAGAATTACATTTGGATTTGGTCCAAGATGGAACTGATTGTTACCTGCAAAAGAATGCAGGTACACATGAAAGTTCTGCATGCAGACCAAGAATCAAGTGCAAACAGAAAAGATACAGTGACAGTGCAGGTGTACTTCACAATTATTAGATGGACATCTTCAAAGTGGAATTGCTGTCAAAGTCACTCAGTTATGTTCTCACTATACTTGGAAGTGTAGCAAAGAAAATATTTCTTCTATCAGCAGCGTCCCTTTGAATGATATGACATCACCTGGATGTTTAATAAACTAGGCTGTTTTATAAGTTCTACTTCTACTCATTAGATGCTCAGATGCAGTCAGATGGCTTGGACTACTGGATCTATGGCTGTTTAAATAGGTGATTCAGTAAAAGGGATTTATATTCTGCAGGCCTACTATTATGAGACACTTATGGTATGTATTGAATTAAAGGATAAGATTAAAAAAGTGGAAGAAGTGTTTCAGGATCAAACCATTTTAAATGGTTGAGTTGGTCTTTATTAATTATGGAAATTAAAAAGCAGCACAGAGTAAATCTAGCAGGACTCAGACACATGAGACCATAGTTTCATGAGTTCTATGAGCCAGCAGTGGCATTTACTACTATTCTAAACCTGTAGCCTAAATCTTAGGTTTAGAGAATCAACGTCAGTAATTGGGAACATCCACAAAATGCCTCAACCGAGACTTCAAAGTTTTTGTCTGTTTGTTTGTTTTTTAAAGTAAGCCACAATATACAGACTGTTCTAAAGAAAGAGATATGGAGAAAATATGTAAGTGCAGCATGCATTTAAGGACAGTCACAAGATCCTTCATGTGCACAGCCAAACGATACAAAAATACCACAACACTACACTCAGCTAACCTCCACAGGTATTTATACACATGCATATGTTACATGCTTCATTTCTCTTCACTACTAACTGTCTGGAGCAGAACCCTCAAGCACTGTTTTGTTTGTAGTTTCTGAAAAGATTTTCTTTCCCTCATTTAGGCACAGAGACTATCACTCTAGAAATGCAATTGAGAAACTTGTTTCTCCTTCCTTATTGATAAAAGCCAATGAGAAAGTGTTGTAAAACATCACCAAGTGCTGCCTGGCTGACCAGGACTGGAGTTATAGCTACTAGGGCATAACTGATTGCTTTAAGCTTGATCCAATTGATACTGTGTTGGAGGTCTGTTCTTCCATTAACCTTGGATGAAATTGTTCCCTGAATTAGCTTCCTTGCTCTTGAAAGCTGGCATCAATTTTCTTCACCAATCCCTTGCTTCTAAGATGTGGGGGCCTCCTGAGTACCCACCAGCAACAGAATGAGAAAATACAAGAATGCCACAGCCCATGCATTTTACCTTTTGGAGAGGCTCTTACAACAGCGTGATGGATCAAGACACTATTAGTTCTTAAGTGATAAAACTTTGGTAAGCCAAAGAAATTAAGATTGTGACTTGGGCACCAGATTCTGAATTCCATTATCTAACAGAAATCAAACCACATGGAAAACATGTAGCTTTGTCAAATACAAGTTACTTCTGCATAAGATCGGGACTGCAAGACGGTTACTTCACAAAAGCTCTTTCCAGCAGAGGCGGCACTGGTACACAGACCAGTGTCATACAGATTGCCCTGCTCAACTCAGGAAAGAAAAAAGTTACCCTTGGGAAGGTCTCCTTACAGAAATGGTAGAAATTTATTTATCTATGGCACATAAGGCTGAACCATCCTTCTGTCCAGATTATTCAGTAAAGGAAAAAATAATTGCTCATATTAATTGCTCAAAGAGTTTCCTGTTCTGAACTTTGATTTTCCAACAACTTTACGCTGCATTGTACACAAATTTTGAAATGCTTTTGGACTCTAGCCACAGGGCAGCGCCTTTACTCCTCATTCTCAGTACAGTTTTAATGCAACTATTTACTGCAAGATTTAACTGACTGTAGGAGAAAGTTGATAATGAATTATTTAGAATATTGATTCTAAAGTTCCACTTATGCCTAACAAGTAAATAAAGCTGAGTATCTCTAAGATGTTCTTCCTCAGGAAGGATTACTTTTAACAATTCCTGCTCTTTGTCCCTCTTTGAGAACAGTCAGCTTAAGGAACGAAGGTCATGGTGTTACGACCTATAACTCACAACGCTGCATGTTTTTGAATGGGAAGTTGACTTGAGGTTTGGGTCCAGTAACTTCTATCAGAAGTCAGTATGCTCTAAAAGAGAATCTACATTTCCTTTTACTTCAAAGAAGAGAGAAAAAAATTAAGTTCATACAGCAATGAAATCATTGACTCATTGAGATATACTCTCTGGTATAATTAATAGTAACCAGTATTTTCCTATTAAGTTACTAGATATATTAGTGACTGCCAACACAGCTTATATTTGATTTTATTGTATCTAAAATAAAAAGGATGCTTTCTAAAATAAGATTCCAAATCCAAGCAGTTTTTAGCTTTCCAACAGCATAGTATGAAATGAGACGTTTGAACTGTGAATATATGATTCAATCACAGCAAAGCAGCAAGAAGACCCAGATATCTTGAAAAAAAAAATCAGTATCTTGATATTTTATACATAAACATCTGGCAGCGCGAGAGGGACTTACATGCAGTAGTAAGGAGCACATGCAATTCTTTGCAGTATCAATTCAATAGGCTGACACAGAAGTCCCTCATATTTCAGGCTTAGTCAATACAGAAATAGCAGCACCTATAATCAAGATGCATAAAGGCACTCTATGCTTCCTGGACCCTTCACATTATAAAATGCTTACACTTGAAATATTTTCACAAACAGGCCTGTCCCTCATTTTTCTCACCAGGAAAAAGTTTTCCTTCACAATGGAGGATTGATTAGAACCTAGCGTCTGTATCATCACTTCTTCATGATACAGCCTTCTTTTTCCACTTACTAACCTCCATGGAACGGATGCAATATGAGGTAAGGTAGCCTCTCTAGGCTTCTCAAGGAAACACTCACTTAAAATTTCAGCAAAGCAGCACATTGCATCTGCAGACAGATTATAAAAATCAGAATGAAGCTAGGGATTTTATTCCCGAGTGATCTCTGAATCACTAATATGTGCTAACAGGAGCACCTCAGTACTTATCCAGGCAGTGATACATTCGCATCAATCAGTGACATCGCCTCATTGAAATACAAACTAAATCAACATGGACCAACTCCTAAACTTGCATCAGTTCAAGAAGAGGACTGACAAAACACTTGCTGTTCTGTGCTTGAAATTCTTGCATGCAGTTGGAATGATACTGAGACAAAAATGCAAGCAAATAAAATCATAACAAGTCTGCTCTAATTACACTAACAAGCACCTTGGCACGGCTCACTCCAGCAGACACAAATGGAGGTTAGTCCTACAAATTTCTCTGGTTCTTCAGCTATTTGCAAGACGCACTGAAAACTGCTGCAAGATTCCACGACTGTATCAGAAACAGTTGCAGCACCAGAATAAAGTAATAAAAAAAAAATGTCAGAATAAACACTAGGTAAATACACATGCTTATAATGAAGAATCAAGTCCCCAGTTCATAGCACTAGTTTTCACTGCCAGCTGCCTGGTATAACCTTCTTGGATACATAAGCAGCAGACTAATCTCAATAAATCTTACTGATGTGACTATTGCAAGTTGACCTCTGTATGATGAGCAAATAATCTGGAAAATCTGAGAAACGCTAATGGGCAGGGGACAGCAAAGGCTTCACAAAACAATTTGCTTTCTTATAAGAGCAGTGAGTGTATCTGGAAAATAATTCCATGCGAGGTATCAGTGGGATAGCAAGCCTTCAAGAAGGCTGTCATACCAGCACTACTGCACAACAGCAGTCAGAAGTGAAAGCATGCCAGAAAAAAAAACACTCAATTTTAGTTAAAAAAGTCAGCAGTAAGGAAATAAAGGTAAATTTACACCTGCAATAACAAAGCATTAGGAATCACTCACTTATCAAAAATCTATTTTTTCAAACTATCTCCAATGTTACCTTCATCTCTCACATTATAATATTAAGATTAGTTTTTCACTGTGCATTCTAAAAACTGTTTTAGTGTCTGGAAGTGATTTCTCCTAACACTATACTTACATAAGATAAACATAAAGTACTTACACCACTCCCCGCATATCGAACAATAAATAATAGATTCTCCTGACAGGACTTTGATGACCTGGCAAAGCCCGAGTGCTTTCAGCCAAAATCATATGAAACCATAAATCACTCTTTATTTTATAGAATATTTCAAAACGGATTCCTGCTTTCTACCTTGAAAGTCATTTCATGCGTTATTTATAGCCACTGAAAACCAGAATGGAAAGAAAATTGCATAGAACTAGAAAATTTACTGTGACTGCTTTTATAAAGAATAACTCCTATTTAGAAAAAAAAAAAAAAAAATTAGAATTACTGGCAAACTTGTGAATACAGCCACCTTATAAAGAGTACTGTCCTTTATTTTATAACTCACCAGAAGTTAAGACAGGACTCCTGCAATATCAGGAACTAGTTCAAGTCAGGACTGAATATAATCCAAATAATCAAAGAAATTCACAGTAAGGGAGACCTTGTACCCTTAAACACATCACTTAAATATTTAAGTTATGGCTGTTTGTATTTTGCAGATATTGCAAATCTTTATGTTTACAGTGATTTATGCCATAAATTCAACAGTGCTGAATGTTTTGCTTATAAGCTTTCCTATTTGTTAACTGTCTAAATAAAATCCTTCCCACTGACTCCGTAACCCAGGTCACTCTCTCAAACAGATTTTTTTTTAATTACATTTAAAGATCTCATAACATTCCCTCCTTGTAAACATTCATAACGTCCGCACTAATTTAGAAGTTGACCCCTTAAAAGGGTAGCAATAACAAACATGATTATTGCCCACCCTGAAGTGTCTTCAGGCGTGCACTTACAGTATCAGCCATCCAAAACGACGTGCTACAGGACTTAACACAAATGAAAATCTGCAAACATAATATTCCAAAATACCAGAACTACTGCGAGTATGACAACTGCTTTATCAGAAAATCATCCAGTGAAGCCATTCCTACTTGGATAGTGGATAACCTTCACATAATAATATAATCAAAAAGAAAGGAAATAGGGACAGTCGTGATGAGAGAAGAAGCTAAAATAAAACTTGAAATGAACTTCAATTCTACAATGAGAAATGGAGATAGAACAAAAGAACAAAGCCATAACAACTTTAATTTCTGTGCTGTATTGTCACTGAAAACCTCAAAATATTATTAAGTTCTCTGTTAATCTATTTTTCTTAAGAACTATGCATAGAAGTTCCATGACAGTAACTAAACATTTGCTACTGAACCCACAAAGACTTTGTGTGTTTTTGTACTATGTATCCAGAGTGTTCTAAAATTGCCTGTGCAAGAACATGTTTTATTTGGGTTACAGAGAACTAGTCTCATAAATAACTGAATTTGCTTTTACCACACAAATACTGATAAAGGAATTGAACCTAGCTATTAAACATATCACAGATGACAAAAATTTAGCATGAGTTTCCATTGCCAATAAGCTTACTCCAGAGAAATAGTTCAATGAGCTCGAAATAAAAACAAATTCAAATCCCACTCAATCTAATTACTGAAATTAACAGATGCAGGAATTTTAAAACCTGCAGAAGGCCAGGCATGCAGAAAAGAGTGCAATTACTACTAAGCAGTTAAAAACATTAACATCAACAATTCAGATATTATGACAATCAGATATCCATATGCACTCAGCACTGGCTATGGCATCAGAAGAAGAGTTTAAGACTAAGAAATTCCTTCAGCAGTAATTTCCTGGAAAATAAAAATTGTGCTTTGAATAATCTTTCACACTGCTGGTTTAGTACCAGTATTTAATACAGTGTAAAAATAGACAATTGGCACCATTAGTCATCCTTTGCATTATTCCTTAATAGAAGAAATGCAAAGCAAAGACAATAATTCAGGAAAGGCAGGAGCTCTGAACATCTTAGAATCTTAGAATCATAGAATCACAAGGTTGGAAACTAGAATCTTCAAACTAGACCTAACAGTACTCTCTGTAGAATCACAGAATGGCCTGGGTTGAAAAGGACCACAAAGATCATATAGTTTCAGCCTCCCTGCTATGTGTGCAGTGTCACCAACCACCAGACGAGGCTGCCCAGAGCCACATCCAGCCTGGCCTTGAATGCCTTCAGGGATGGGGCATCCACAGCCTCCTTGGGCAACCTGTTCCAGTGCGTCACCACCCTCTGTATGAAAAACTTCCTCCTAATATCTAACCTAAACCTCCCCTGTCTCAGTTTAAAACCATTCCCCCCTGTCCCATCACTGTCTACCCTTGTAAACAGCCATTGCCCCTCCTGCTTATATGCTTCTTTCAAATATTGGAAGGCCACAGTGAGGTCTCCCTTTAGGCAGGCAAACATCTCAAAAAGATACCTTCTCATACAAACCCATACCAACACTAACTACAGCAATATTTCCACGACAGAATTCATCTCATGGCATTTTCTCTCCCAGTATGAAAACATTACTATTAAAACCTGTTCTCAAAGTAGGGAAGGTAATGGTAGGTGTGCACTCCAGGACCAATCCTCTCTGCCACAGCCTGCTCAGCTGGAAGTGCTTTGCTTCAGGTGAGCACTCCTAAGAGCATGGCTGGGAGAGCACTGGCTTTCCTATCTGTGACCTGCTACCACCAACTGCTGTCACACAGATAGCCTCGGTTTAACTCACAGATCATACAGCAAGCATGAACCATGACAGGGACAGGAAAGACAGAACACAATTGCAGCCTGAGGTTTACTGTGCCTGCTACATGGTCCTCTGAGGCCCCTCAACATAAGAGCTACCACAGCAAACGGAATTACATCAGATTTTTAACAAAGATTATAGAAGCTCCAGAAGAAAATTTTGACAGCACATTTTTCTTCTCCATAGGAATAATGAAAAGATGAAGTCTTATCTATGTATGCTTTAGTCATATGTGTTGAAGATCTTCACTAGCTTCCGTAGCAGCTAGAATATGTACCATTACTATTTTCACCTTTTCATTTCCTTAGCTAGATTAGATAGAAAATTCATGAACATTAATTTTATGAAGCCGTGTTTCCTTTAATTTTCTATACTATTCCATACAGAAGTATTTTTCATGGTAAAAACGATTAATTACCCTCATAAATCAAGGAGTTGTACAGTTCTTAACACTTCACCCTTTCAGTTTGGTAATTTATCCATTCATTGTTTACTGTTATTCTCTTTTACTCAGAACAGTCACAAACCTGATCATATAAGAAAACATCAGGTTCATCACTAAGGCTTCCACTTGAACTACCAAACAAAGAACACAGTAGGGAAATCTTAATTTCTAATTGCAATTTAAGAAATATTTTAAATTTTGGTTGCAGTTACAACATTGTGGTATGTTTTTGTGAGACATTTGAGATGTCCATCACTCACTGGAACAGAAAGTGGATGATTTTGTATAGGATGCACAAAGCACAGGCAGACTGAGAAAGCTCAGCGTCAATTAAAGTACATGCAGTCCTACGTCTTCTTTTACACTGAATTGAACACCTTAATGAGAAGCACCCTAAATGAGGAAGTCTGGGGTTATCTGTAAGCAAGCTCAGGGATTATGAAAACGCTTTTCAAGAGAAAACGCAATTCTCACATTACAGCACGCAGCTGAGATTATCAGCACAAACCACATATCCCACCACAACACTGAGGTCGGCTCTTCAGAACTACTTTCGGCGCACCGAAAGAAGCTTTCAGCTCGCCCAGCCAGGGGCATTTCGGGGTGCCAGTGGCTACAGTGAAGTACCAGATGAGCACCAACCTCAAGAACACAGGAACACAGGGGCCGCGGTGTGCCTAACGGGCCGGCACCTCGCAGAGAGGACAGCTATATCCTGTATCTTCAATAACTCCTGACGCTGAAGCCTAAGCAGCAATCCCCGAGCAGCTCGCAGGAGCAGCGACGGATACGGCGCTGCCCACACAGGTCCCCCGGCAGCCCCACCGCCTCACTCCCCGCACACTGCCGCCGCTCCCCCGCCCTCAGCTGCTACGGCCACGGCCGCGCCCTCTACGGCCTCAGCACCCACAGGCCAGCCCGCGCCCCGAGCCGCCGCGTACCGGTCCCTATCACCACCACATCAAACTCGGAGGGCAGGTTGTCCGCCATCTTGGGAGGGGCACCGTCACGTCACCCGCGCTGCCGGAAGCGGAGGCCGCGGCCCACACAGCTTCCGGCCGCCGCACGCGATGGCCGCCGGTAGATGGAGTTCTCCCGCGCGACCTGCTGACGTCACGCGGCCGGACGGAGCGCCGCGCTGCTGGCGGTGTGACGGCTCGCTGCTCGTTCTTTTTGGCGGTACTAGCTATGGTAGAAGCAATGCGAAACGGATGGAAGCGCCCGGCAGCTGTCTGCGAGCTTCCGACATTAGGGTATGACCGAGTGCCGTCTCGCTGGAAACCAAATACAGGCACTGCAAGGCAAGCAGCCCCGCGCTGCACTGCGTGCGGGAAAGTCAGTAACCCAGTACTTCGGTTTTTGTCATTTGATATCCAAGAATGTATTCCCCATATTACAGCCTCCGCACTGCTCGGTTGCGGTAATATCTTTCCTTTTAACACGATGTCAAAGACATTTCAAAATAAAGTGTATTAGCTTGTTTCTGGTCATTAATTCCCTGTGCTTTGTCAACTGACAGCCGCTAACGCTACATGTTGGACCGTACCTCTTCTCTGTTGCATTCAGAAACCTTTCTGTGAGCCCACCACGAACGCTGGTGGCGTGCAGCCTACAGTCACACTGCAATCCGGCTGTCTGTTCTTTCACCTCACAAAGAAATGAAAGGGAAATCTGGTGACACACAGAAAGCACCGCTTCAGAGCAGCCCCTCCTGTCCCGCCGGACTGAGTGAATGCATACTCAGAACAAGAAGTCGTTCTGTAAGTACCCAAATGTACGTACAGCAGTGCAATCAGAATAACCCAGCACAATGTCGCTGTGTCAGCATGCTGGAAATTTAAGTTTTTATTTTCTATTTAATTACGTGTGCCGTTTTAAACTAATCTCTTATGATTATTCGTTGTGTATGATTATATACAAGTCTTAACACCTTAAATCAATAGCAACAATAAAGCAGCTAGCAGCCTGTTAACACCTTCTTACAAGCTCCTTGTTCGCGTAGCAAAAAGAACAGTGGAAGGGGTATAAAGCGACTAATGGAAACCAGAGCCCACCTTGCCCCCGTGGTGCCGCCAGCCGTGCTACAACACAGGCCAGTGCAGAAAATGGCCCAGCAGTAAATTTCAACGCAAGAATGAAAAATGTAGATTTAAACATTGATTACAATGATTTGATTACAATGCCTGATTACAATGCAAATAAATACGTAAAAAAGTAGTAGTTACAGATTCAGGCGTAAAAGTAGTAAAATCAAATCGTATGTTCCTTATATTATGCTTCCAACCGTCTCACAGAAATAAGAAGAACTTTTCCATTTTGCAGCTCCTGTAGTCCCTGCTAACGGGGCTGCCATGCCTACCTTTTAACCTCTAACAAAAACATTCAGTTCCAGAATTCTCACAGTGTTGGATCATCCTGACCTCAACGTCTGGAGCGGAGGAACAAAACATTGCTGTATCGGTTGGCTCAGATAAGGCAAACTCCCTTTTCACATTCTTTCTTTATTGAGAGAGAATACTCATGAAAATATAATTTGATTGTGCAAATCTTCTGTTATTGTTTAGTATAACTGTAGGACTGTAACAGAGCTGAGCTATTTCACTATCAATGTCTTACTGTTTCTCAAGTGCTTCAGTATTTATTCCAGCACAAAATGCTGTTGTTTGGTTCTCTGAGTTCCTGTTAGCTTCATTCATAAGATGCAATCAGTACAATCCTATTTCATGATGACAGTCATTATCCACTGGACCAGAAATTTTTCTTAGTTCTATTTATTTGACAAAATTGATTATTCGGGATCTTTTACTGCAAACTCTGGGTCTGTCAGTCCACAAAACAAACAAACAAAAAAATTTTCCTGTACCTTACATTTTTAATATCAGCAAACATAGAATACATTAAGTATGAGTAATTTTTATGAGAATTTCACAGACCTTGAGAAAATGTCTTGCCATGTTTTTCTCTTTAGCTATTTAATTGCAATGTCATAGTAACAGAAAGCAGCATACCCAATTCTGCATGGATGAATAAGCACATTCAATAAAGAAGATTTAACAGAGTAAATCAAACAGTGGATTAAACATTTTCTGCATAACAGACCACAAAATGGGCATTCATTTTACCAATAGATCCTCTACATTAGAAACAAATAGAAATGCACACCAACATAATTAAACTGCACATCCTGTGGGCTGATTGCAAATTTTCCTGTATTTTATAAAACGAGGTCTCATCAATTAGAACTGCCAAAAAGCATTCAGGAATGCACACTGACCAGACAAAATTTATTTTTTTAATCATTTGTATTCTATAAACTTTTTTTTTTTTTTTGGTGAAATAACTCATGATATGATCTACTGAAAAGAATTCATAGGCATTTTTAGTAGTAACAGTTCAGATAGACACAAAGATCAGTCAGAGATCCCATGTTTAGCAGTTTTTAATATATTTTCTGTTAGCAACTTCTCTGACTTTGCTTTCAACCAAAACATCTATCTTCCTAGAAGAACTTACATTTTTGCTTCATAGCTTTTATTTTAGATTTTCACATTTTCATAGAACTATCTTGCTTATTTTAAAGTTTATGTGGATTATATCTAACTTTACTAAAATGCTTTTCTGAAATGTAGTACTCTTAGCAAAAAAAACGTATCCTCTGTTTGTGCTTTTCCTGATAGAAACATTGAAGCCCAAGGACATAGGGAAAAAAAGAAAAAAAAAATCAAGAGAAGTCAGTATTAGAAGTATCAAGTTTGTAGTTGTTTCAAGATCTATTTTCAGATCATTCAGTCAAATATCTCCTCCAAAATAACAAACAGCAAATACTTTGCGCTGTGATGATTTTTTTTAAACTACATAGTATCTTTATCCTGCAATGATTTCACGCGTGAAATCTCATTCTTCAGTTTATTATTCACTCAGTGGATACAGAATTTAATTCTCCTTGAGTACCAGTTTGAATACGGATCAGCAGCAGGATCGGGCCTATTAGCTGCTTGAAACATCTATTGAATAACCTGATTTATCCAACTAAATGGCTCATTAGTTCAGGCAGCAAGAAAATGTTTGTGTGTTGCTGAAGTTATGCATGGTTGTCATATAGAGTTTGCTGTTATGCAACTGTTGGTCACTCAAGCATGCACAAACTAGATTGTTCATTAACTACGGAAACAGACACTCTACATTCAAGCATGCTTGCAAAAGTGTATTTGTTTACAAAATTCTTTCAAACTCTTATACCCATTTATTCTTTGTTACTGATATCTGAATCAATCTTTCTGTCCCTTAGCAGTTTCCGACTGGCTGTCTGTGCTCCCAGTTATGCCCATAAAACGCATTATTTGTGTTTTATTCCTTACATTCCACAACAAGACACTCTTCTGATCTTGCATTATTCTGATCCACATTAGAGATGTCAGGTTCCCCATACTTGATAAATGATTGTTTGGCTACCAAATCCATGGAAGAACAGATAGAAGGACTCTTTCTTTGTCACTCTAAACTTCCTTAGGAAGTGCAGTTTATAATTCAAGAGCAGTAATAGCAACTTGTAATCATCATGGTAGTTCTTTTTCTTGAAATTATATAAATTATTCTTCATCTTTGACTAAACTTACATATATATATGTGAAATGGCAATGCATTTGGAATGTTTTTAAGCACATCAAAACTTCTGTTTCCTTCATTTTGTTCTATTCAGTTCCTCTACTGGAGGTCTGGTCTATAACAAACACTGAGAAAAACAGTAACAGTCTCTGATTTCTATAAACAGATTCTGCTCCTTAAGTCCTATAGCTGATGAAATTCAAATTGTAGATGCATATTTAATAATCTTATTTTAATAAACAGTTTTTATGTGTTTTAATCCAGTTATCATACAGTCTCTGATGTATTTTGTTGTTCTCATAACACTCTGGTAAGATTGTCCCTGTTGCACAGTACACTGGCTGGCACACTGGGCCTAACTGCAGCTCCATTAAGTCCTATGAATATTATCATTTATTTAACAGAAGTGCAATTAGACCCTAGGCAAATTCTTAATCACACATAGATACCTAATTCCCATATGTATGATCAGTCCTTTAATACAGTAATCTTGGTAAACCAGTGAACAAAACACTATACAACAACAACAACAAAATCACAAAACATGAAACCTACACTCTGAAACTAAGGGGCACTGGAACTATGAATGAAATTGCCACTGTCATTACTAAGACAGTACTCCAAGAGACAGGAAAAGAGAATTTGATCTTTGCAATGTGCAGGATAAAGGAGATAATTTTTGCAATAGCTCAGAAATTCAGGGTTTTTTGTTGGTTTTGCTTTTTGCTACAAGTTAATCTTTTATGCTTGGAATGGCTGATGAACCTAGGATGACTAATAATGGTGCAGTTTTATCACTTGTTTCTTAGAAACACTCTGAGGAAATTTTCTTTAGGAACTGGAGACAATAGTGAACTCTGTGTAGTAGAGTCAGACTGTACCCTGACTAGCACTGCTCTAAAAACATGATATTAGCACCCCGTAAGCAAGATGTGGTGTCAGGTCAGGTTTTTATTTAGTTAGATTGCTTCTGTCAGTGCTCTGTAACTGTGGCTAAAATCATGTGGTACAGCGTGTGAATTATTGCTTTATCTTCTCTTCCAGAGTTTTGCGCGGGTATTTTCTGTTTGTTTTTTGAATCATTTAGGCATGTTTGTAAAACATCCTTTCTAGATAAAAACATGTAATGCTAATACTTCTGAAATGCAGACAGAACAGGTAAACTATTGTTGAAGCCAAAATAATGTCAGTATATCTAAGCAAAAGACTACAACTTTTTTTGTACATTTTAAAGAAAAACTCATCAGGTGTTTATAGCCATGTTTCCAGTAATTTGTTCCTCTTCAGAAGTTTACTTCACCTTTGTGGTGAAACCTTCTTTACCACAAATGAGAGGCCCCTGAGACTGCCTTGACATGGTGGTATTTCTGGCAGAAGCTTGCATGTGACTTTTTAACTCTTTTATTTCATTACAGACAATACCGTGTATGGATTACCAGTTCTTCCTATTCAAATGAATAAAAGAAGATGCAACTTATCATTGTTGTGTCATCATTCTGAAAAATGAAAAATTAAATAGTTGCTCAACATATTAAAACTCTCAAGTTCAAAACTGTTCAAAAAAAAAGGCAAATTCAGCTACCTGGGAAATGCCCTCCTATGCCGATGTCAAGATAATTGCCAAGTGTGGGATACTCACACTGCATGAACAGGAATGCACAGCAGTCAGTTCCTGCCTAGCAGTAGAAGAGACCCTGATGTAAAAGCCAAAAATGTGTTCTGGAAATACTATGGATTTTTAATGAGGATTAAGCATCGTGGCAGTTGAACCACAAAAGATGTAAGGAAACTGCCTAACCACAGCCACATAGATCATAATGATTTATGTAGGCACGAGTTGCAATACTGTTTCCCTCACTTTAAAAAGATTTCTCATTTGCCAAACTCTGTGCATTCTTCATCAAATGCGTAGGTTATAAGACAGAGAAATCATCAACTTGAAACAACTTCAGCAGAACTGGAAAAATGTTATGACTTCATAGGAACAATCCCCAATCAATTCAGAATCAGCCAGGTTAGTTAGAAGATTTTTTGAACTGCAGAAATAGCACAGGCACTACAGCATATATGTGCTTGAAATCAACGACAAAGCACTACTGCTACTAAAAAGCACACAGCTGGCTCCATGTGGGAAACCAAGTGACAGGGACTTAAAATAAAACTTCGAAGTTTTTCAGTCATTTCATTGCAAACTTTACAGGTTCTGGGCCATGATCACAATTTAGAAGACAGAGCCGTTAGCTTGAAAAAGAATACAGGGGAGAGCCAGGAATAATACTGAAGGAAAGCTGGAGAGAATCAGTGAAGCACGCAAGGTCATGATAAACCTCCAGAAGAGGATTCAACTATCAGAGTCTGCCTGTCGCTGGATAAACTCGAGCAGAATCTCTGTCAAGTGGTGGAAGGTAAGCCATTCTTCTACAGTTTGAAAGACAGATTCTGACTAACAGTTCTAGGATTCTGTGATAGTGCTGGATAAATTATAAGAAAAAGCAAACAAGTTAAAATGTATTCAGGTATATACAGTTGAACCTTATCTATGCTATTAAGGAAATAAATTATAAACTCTGGTAGAATATATTCATTTTGTATATATAACAAGTATGTTTTTATAGCTTCTTGATATGTTCTAAAAGATTACAGTGTTTTTAAAACATTCCTGTAAGAATTCTGTTTCTTCTCATCTACTACTCATCTTCTCATCTATGAGTCAGAACAAAATTTGGTATCAATAACATCAATATAAATTGAGAAGAATGATTGAAATTATGCAATTATAAAACAGAGTTTGTCACCAAAAGCAGAGTTTGGTGCTTTCTGTACTAGGAACTCCATGGTTTGCATATTCTAACTTCTGAAGTCTTGGTCAATTGTGGTATGTCAGAAATCACCAGTAAGCAACAGACAAAAGGAAACTGATTGCATATATAGCCCTACAAAGAGTACACAAAGTGGTGTAATAAATCAAGATCAGTAAATGTGCGTGTCTAGTTGTAGTCAGTTACTGCCTTATTTTGTTTGCAATATTACTTAAAGCAGTTTTTATTGCACAGTACAAAATCTTCAGATATATGTTCTCAGAGTTTAGGAAAAAATGTATCTTTTCTGGCACATATGGAGATTGCATTTATCTGAAAAATTAATCTCCTTTGTCTGGAAAATTCCTTTTATTATCTATTACATTTATTTTATTAACTTCTTTAGACTTGTGGCCAATTAGGACATACTATTCTTTCCTTAGTTGACACAAGTTTTACCATGCAAAATTCAGCCTCTTACTTCATGATATTTGCTAATTGATTAACAAAAATCATTACGTGTACAGTTAGGAATAATTATCTCATTGTATATACGTACTCAAACACATGCACAAATACTGAGTCTGGGAAATGGAGAATATGGCAGATCAAGCAAAAAACAAAAACAAAAGCACCACCAAAAAGGACCAACAACCCACAGAGTGCAAGGCTCTACTGCCTCATTTGAGGAGAATGAAAAAGTAAAACATCTTTGAATATTTTTTTTTAATAAACAGTAGCCTTCTCCAGTCTCAAAAATCATAAATGACACATGGATGGAAAGGAAAGAGGAGATAGACCAAGACTTTAAGTTCTGAAACTGAAAAAGCTCCCTTCGGAAACTCACCATAAATATTACCATATAATTAAAGGGCTTAAAGTAGTCCATAAAGCTAAGTGAATTGATGTGTCTCATATGCAGTATTTTTACCTAGACTTCACCAGAGAAACCATAAACAAGAGACTATAAAGGCCTCAGATGAAATGAGTTCTTGCAGGCTTGGATTCCTGTGAAGACATACTTATTGCTAAGGACTCAAACACCAAACTATATCCAAGAGACACCTGCAAATTAGGAATGAATAACAGTGAGCTATGTTATATCAGGAACTTAAAAAACTGAACTAAGCTGTAGCAACTATGAAATGATGGAAACGTGAATAAATGTAATGAAGCAAAGGTAATTTCCCTTAAAAAAAAAATTAACTTTATAAATCTGTGTTTGAGGTTGAATTTGCCTTAGTTGAGACGTGTTGGGTCTGCTGGTACAGCACTTATTGCTCTACAGCAAGAGCAGAGATTTAGTTGAAGCTTTACAGCAGCAGTTGTGAAAACTTACTAATGTATTTGTGGGTACAGACGGCCAAGAGGAGCTTCTAAACCCTCTTACTCTATTTTCCTCTGAAAGAACATGAGAAAATAGCTGTCAATTGCAGGAAGATGATTTGGGGACTTTTTTTCTTTTCTTTTTTTTTTTTTTACTAGTTAAAGGAGTGTGACTAGAATGCTGTGAGCTTCTACAGCTGTCAGTCTTGCTTCTAAGAAATGGGAATACGTGTGATCACCTCTTATTTTCAGTTAAATACATTCTCTAAAGCCACACACAAGAAATGCTTCCTTCTTAAGCATTTCTCTCTCAACATCACAATCAAAAGGTTTTTTTGTTTTTTTAATTTAAAAGTTCCTGGTTAGGATTTTAGAACCAAAGCATAGCTATAGTGGTTCTCTGAGATTTTAACGAAATCTTAAATTAAATTACACACAGATTGTCCCACAGAAAGGAGAAAAGTACTTATATTTCTTTTACAGATTGTTAGCTGGTGCCAGGCTCTGTGTAGTAATGCTTTTGAGAATTCAGAAAGGACACTTATGATTTAATAAGTACGTTTCATTAATCCAAACAGTACACGCTTCACATTGCTGCTAGCTTTTTTGTGCAGAAAATAAGACATCCACTTTGCACTTCTGAAACTTTAATTAAACTCTATGTGTCTAGGAAAAGAATGTTTATACTATAAATGTTTTGTGGGTCAGCAATATTAAAGTATGTAGTGATTTTTATAGGATGTTTGCATTTTAATCTCTCTTCAGAGAGAATGCAACTGAGCATTCCAGTACATTTGAAACCCACATTTCAGTACCATGGCCATGACAAGGATGTTACCTAGTTGAGGCATGCCTATAAACAGAGTGATGATGTGTAAAACTAGAACAATAGGTGGTCAAATCTGGCTGTATACAGAGTAAAAAATTAGGGTGGAAGGTAACAAATCACATTAATTTGCACTAATTAGAAGCCATTTTTATCCTTTTAGTCTTAGCATCATCTTTTTGGAGATAAGATGTAAGCTTGGTGGTTGTCAGTCCTAGAAAACGAATGGTTACATCATACATCATTCAATAATGTAACAGCCCTTTGATAAGGTGATCTCCACAATAGCAGAATTTCCAGCTGTTGCCCAACTTGTGACTATTTCTAGAAATACAACCGCACCTCTCAGAGCAATTTTCCATCACAGACTCTCTAAAGAAAGACTTTCAGCCATTACACTTCTTTAATTCTGTGCACCTGCAATGACTAGAAACTCTAAAGCAGAACTAAGGAGAGCATGATGTTCACTCCCTGCTTTTGTACCTACTTAGTGCCTTCTGAGTGACACTGCCTCCTCTGTTTGACTAAGTAAATAAAAGGAAAGAACAGGTCATATTTCTTCAGATTCTGAAGGTGCTGTATGAATATTAATTCTATATAGCTAATATAGACCCATTTATTGACCTGTCAGTTAAGCTGGAAGAGCCAGAATTTTTCCCCCAGTTCAGAAGAACACTATGCAGTTGTAAATGTTGAAGCAGATTATTAGGAAGATTTGCAAGAATAACTACTTAAAATGGTCACATTCATTTTAAAGAAAAGAAATATAATTGGTATTTGCATAGAGGAAAATGGATGAATTTAAATTTCAGTTGATTATAATTATTGTCATCATAATCATCATCATTATCTTTGTATGTCTAAATGACTGATTCAAAGAAGAATTTTAACACATTTCACATGTCAGTGCAATTCTTTTCTGTTTTGTGGTTTTTCATTTGCTTTTTTCAATCTGAACTTTTCATGGAAGCTATTGTAATCTTTTTAAAAGGTGGAAAGATGTTTCAAAAGAAGTCAAATTAAGAAGTATTTCATACGTTCATGCATATTTACAGAAAAACTGGTACACAGATACTGAGCAATGGCACATGGAATTTCTTTTAAAATATTCTGAACAATAACGTTCTACTTGAGTCTGGATTGCTTAACCAGATACAGGATTTATTTATACTTATTTGCAACTCAGGAGTTGATAGGCCTACAGATTACTGGCCTTAATTTAGACATTTGTTTTATACATGCAAGACTGCCTTCCACAAACATGTTACACATTTTTGCTAAAGAAGAACCAGAAGCTAGAACATTCTGGACTTTATCAACCACAGATGGTATTCAGTAATCTAAATGAAGGTATTTATAATGCTGTTAATTTGCATTCTAAATGAAATGCTTCTAACCTTCTCATGCTTGTGTTTTAGTGACCAAAGGGTAAAACTGGCATTTACCAACACAATTAGTCCAGACAAGTTCCATTGACTTCTACTCAAAACTTCAGTTTGATTGAGTAAGAACTGGCAACATTGAGTGATGCTACCAGAAGAAATGCAGTGTTTTTAAAGACAGCAAACTAAAATTTGGTACAAAGCAAAATGCACACTGATGCCAATTTCCATCAACAAGAGTTCTATTAATTATGGAGAGGAAAGCCAAGAAATATCAGTGGAAAAAATACATTTAAATTCCTTGAAACAGAAGCAGGCCCAATTTTGGAATACCTATATGTTATCTATGCTGTGAAGTAATTTCTTACTTCATTAATGTTTTAGACAAAAATATTGAAATATCTACGGAATTTTTAAACACAATAACTTACTAATGTTTCTTTGCATGCTAGTAAAAGATATGTAGTCTCAAGTGATGTAAATCAATTATCTCTGTATGTGTGAAATGCTGTAACAAGATCAATGAGACCTGAACACAAGGAGGCATCTTAGGATAACAGCTGCAGATGCATGCACTCTCTGGGAAGAAAACAAACAAATGAATATACACTGCTCATCTCTATGTTTTGCCCTCCCACATAAAAAATCCCTGTCATTATCCTTTCCAGTTGTTAAGTGCATAAAAAAAACAAATGAAGTCAGGTAGCAGTCCATATATCAGTACAGGCAAAGTACAATAAATGGTCACTCTTACAGCAAAGATAAAATGGATGCTTTGCATTCACTTTTGAAATTTGTTCTTGATGGGACTTAATGGTCAGACTGTACTTAGAACCCCTGCTGTATATTTAATGGCTGAATAGAAAACTGCAACTACGTATCTTTACTAAGATGAGCTCAAGATAATTACCTCCACATTATTAATAATTCTGCCAATTGGATTTCCACAAAGTAGATTCAATAAAACACTAAAAATATTTATTCAATAAATCAATTACACTTCTGATTGAGTCTGGCTAACCATAAGTTATTTTCTCATTGATAAAATTATGTTTATGAAAACCCATTTTCATGGAAATAGTTCTTAAGGTTTTTATTGGAAAATACTTTGCTGTTAGGCTGAAGATAAGAGAATTAATGAAAAGTCCACATGAGCCTTATTTGTTTAAATAAACACCAAAAACCCTCTGATTGTTGCTTATGCAGAATCCAATGTCCGTGTTTAATAATGCCAAAAAATGTAAAGAAAAATCAAATACCTTCTTATCCCACTAGATGGTGGTGCCTTCAGAGTAGGGTTGATATCCTTTAAAAGACTGCAGGAAAATTGCTTTCTTTAGCTGACCTGTGAGCATAGAGAATGAGAGATGAGGTTAATCTTGTTCTTCTGGGGACATTAATGAGCATTCAGGTGTAATGGCTTACTAAAAATACTCAAGTACATATGATTGTGTTCATAGTTTGTTACAAAGTGTGTTTTAACTTCAGTATACATCTAATGGCATTAATTTTTCTTCCTGAAGAAAATACTAACAGTACTGAATTTTAATGATAATTGTATCTCATGTAATACAGCTTTATTACTAAAGGTCCCAGCTTTGCCATTTTACTGTCTTCTATCCTCAATAAGAATCAAAACCCAGATTGAAGGAGCAAGTCATTAACAACAACTGTATCTTTTATTTATTTCAGTTGAATGATTTTAAAGTACTACTCTCATTTTTCCACAGCAAACATACTGCTTGCTTTCATGGAGAGCAGCATTTACACGTAGACAAGAAGTAAATACCTAAGCAAGAAGGACACATCTCTTCAGTTACATTTTAGTGAATAGAAAGAGTAAATAGGACGTTGCTTGAGCAAGTATCTTTGTGCTTTAATTTTCTCAAGTTCCTACAGTAAATGGTCAAATCCTTCATGTGTCAAGTATAGCCTGAACTGCTGAGTTCAGTGCAGACTCTGTAATCTGGAGCAGTTGCCTCGAAAACTGCATCTATTGAGGACTGTCTCCAGAGCAGACAATCTGAGCAAGCCTACAGGCTCACACACTGCTGGAATACAGTGTTAGAGCATTCCGAGTACTGAATGTATCAACACTGTGAGCTAGCCTGACGTCAGTCATGCCCAGAAAGCAGACCATAGCAAGACTACAGCTTACTGTATACACAGCAACTCTTGGACAGACTGCTGTATGCACACAGTTGCTCTAGACTCCCAGCTGTGTAAAAGGTCCTACTAGGTAAGATCAAAAGGTGGTCAGTGATTTCTGATTACATGTTCCAGCTGAAAGCAGTAGGTGAGACTTGCACTGAAAAAAATAAATTTGAATTGTTTTAATTACCCTTAAATATTATTATGTAAATTAATAGTATGAAAAATTAGAAGTGGTTTTATGGATGAAGAACAAAGGGCAAGACAAGCCTTAACATTAGGTTTTCTAACTGTTCTCTTCAAAGATGATGCAGTGGTACAGAAACTTGAGAATGTCCATAAGGTGTTCTGGAAAAGACAGAGTTAATTAAGAATCCCAGACTTATGTTGTAGTCTATAGTTGTTTCTCAGTGTATTTTACTTCACATCACCCTGCTTCCAGATGATTAAGCAACTGAGGATAGTTTTTCTGATTCACACCTGACACAGTGTGATTCATATCTATCTTCCACATGTACCTTTCCATTTACTCTTACTTCTCATATTCCAGTCTTTCATTTTTCAATTCTTGTATTTGCAACATCCATCCAGTCTTCTCTTTCCTTTGCAGGTAGTATACATCAGTGTGAGTAGCAAAGTGCCAAGATAGGCCAAATTAGTATAATTTCCAAGCAAAGATGCAGACCCAAAAAGCAAAATAAGAACGCCACTGCCAAACACAGAAGACTGAGGCAGAAAAACAGATAAAGAAATGAATACAAATGTGTGATTATTCTGTAAAGTGTTAATTACTGGACGTTAGAATCTTCTCTGTCTGTATTAGGGAGAGAAAACCCACTCTTACTTCCTATAACAAGATGGGGAGGATTTTTTAAGAGCCTGAATAAAGAAAATTCACCCCACTCATTGTTACTGTCTACCATCAGAAGGCTGAAATGCAGCATTTGCCAGAAGTGCCAGTTCCTTTATTCAGTCTCTTTCAGTCTACCAGTATAACTGCCAATCACAGGAAATACCTCTAATAACTCTTCCTTTTACTTAATAAGGAATATCACATCTTTTAAACATTAGAAACAGATGTCACTGCATTACTTCACTGCTGATGTATGTAATAGAAATGACACACTAATTAATTTAATGCAGTATAAATGTACTGATTATTTATCATGGCTGACAATAAAATTATGAAAACATTCAATTACAATCAGTGGTAATTCATTATTTATTGATTTTGCATTATGCACACATTAATACAATACATTTGATTAAAGAAGGGAAAGGATCATTCTTCTATTGATACTCAGACATTTAGATTCATCCATTTTATTTAAAATCCTTGATGTTTAGATGGGAAGTTTTATTCCACACTTCTAACAACTGACATTTCAAGAAAGTTTTGAAGTAAATTGAACACAAGTACCAAGTGCTGGAGCATTTAGAAAAAGGTGGGTAATAAGATAGACAATTTTCAATCTCTTCATTTTCTCACATCAGTGGCCTACATTTGTTAACATGATCCTGGTTACACTTTCCCTTGAAAACCAAAGCATTAACACTAATGTTCAAAAACAAACAAACAACAAAAAAAAGAGCTAACTTTTATCTTCCATGTTAAGGCTGTACTCAGAACTAGCTGTATCAGTTGCTCACACGGTCACGACATTAAGTCAAAGGGTGCTTTGGATCAGCCTGAGTAACTTTTCCAGTAAGGACTAGGGGAACACCATCGTCACTGTGATTCCAGTCAGGCTGGAATTCAGAAAAATGGTGTTTCATTTCATTATGCTTAGGGAGAATTGTAAATAAATCTTGCAGTTATTTTTTCCTTCTTCGTTTAGAGCCCACAGTTGCCTCTGACCCTCATAAAACTGTGTTCACATTTACCCCTCAGAAACCTCTGAGTACAGGGAAGAGCTCCAAGATCTTCACATCAGTTGTTGTGTTAGAAGCTAACGTGTTCTCCCATCGTGCACACACACTGCACATGCTGGTACCAAGGCTACAAAAAAAAAAAAAAGTTCCCACTAAAAAAAAAGAAAGAAATTCTCCACGCATCTTTTACCTAACAAAATCTTTGGAATTAATCTTTTTTTTTAATTAACCTGCCTCGTGTTTAACTGCAGTAAACTGAGACTCAACACAAACTTCGCTACTGATCTTTCCAGTCTTGTAGAAACAAAATTATTATTTATCAATTCCTTATTATTTTATTTTTCAAGTTGCCTTTGTTAATCATTGTCCCCTTCTTGTCAGTTCTGTCACCCATCCTTTTACCTGTAGGATCCCTGTGAGCTGGCAGCCACGTTCATGCCAGCTGTATGTAAGCAGGTTACGGAAAGCTGTTGGCTGGCCTTAATTGAAACCTGGGCTTTCCTCTATTCTGTAGCATCAGAAAAGATCTCTTTCACATTTCACACCAACCAGGCATATGTAGTGATCAGTAAAGCAAAACCAAGCAAACAGAATCTTTCTTTGATATTTTGCCATAGCTACATGGCCAGTTTTTGCATGTCACTAATATATAATGCAGTAATATCTCAATGACTGACAGTGTTAAAAAAAAAATCTATTTTGCATGCCAGTCTAAAATTAACAATATTGAAACTTTAATTCCAAAAAAATGTTCTAAAATGCTTGTTTAAGCTATAGGGAGACTTACATTCAAATTGCATACTGCTGGACTCTATTCAAATAAACCATCTGGATACTTTATAAATGACAAGATATTACTGTGTGATTGTAAGGCTTTGATAACTTTGCCTTGTCAGTAATAAAATTACAGGCAAATAAAAATATTCATTGATATTGTTGATTTCTATCTGCATGGCTGAAGTGGGCAGCTGCCTGGTATTAATTCTCAAACCTTGAGCATTTCCTTAGTTTAAGAGCAGTTCTGCTCTCCATGGATAGTCACCTCTCAAGGGTACTGTTTTTACTACAGCCTTTATGATTTTATATTGCTTCACGCCAGTCCAACTTGCGGGGTGCTGATGCGCAAGGCTTCCTCTGGCCTTGCAAAAATTCAGTCTTACTTAGAAATATGTTTAGCTTATGGAAGACATTAAAGTCAAAAAGGAAAAAGAATTCTCACAGTAGAATTTGATTGTCCCATTAATCTCAAAGTAAAAAAAAAAAAGTCTGTAAGAGGGCAAAGCCAATGAGAAATTCTTCAATCTGATTTATTAAATCTCCTAATAGCAATTATGTCCTGTAAATTAACCCCTAAAAGTTTATAGTTTAAGTTGGTTACTTAATATTGTACCAATTCTAGCATATAAAAATCTCAAGACGAGTTCAGGGCTCAAATGCACAAAACTTTTTGCTAACTTTTTAGCCCCTGTGCCTCAGAGCTTCCAACATAAGGCTCTCATCTTAGAAAGATGATTATTCTCATTGAAAGATAATCACTCAGCTACATGAGCAGCCTAAAATGGGTGGCCACTCTTTGTAAAAGATGTAACTGAGAGGAAGTGGGGCTCCTCCAGGGGGACTTTAATTAACAAATATGCCAACTTAAATACCATACAGTCATCTCTCTTCATTTCAAATGGGAATTCTCATAAAACAAAAATGTTGGATTGTATAGAAAAAGTGGCTAGCTAGGCCAGCTTAACAAAAGATGGCTCATATGAGCACTGCAACCGGGGAAGCAGCAGAAATACGCCAATGGCATCCAGGATGGATGTGGCTCTAGGCAGCCTGGTCTGGTGGCTGGCAACCCTGCCTGTGGCAGAGGTTTGAAACTAGATGGTCATCATGGTTCTTTTCAACCCAGGCCATTGTGTGATTCTATGATTTTGTGACCTACATGTTTTGTTGGTACTCTTCTGTTTGCTTTGCTTACTGAGTGCTGCTGGAGAAGCAAAAATAAAAAAGAATGGGAGAAGTTAGCAGAGTAAGAAAGAAGGTAACAGAAGACTGAAAATAAAGTGCAAATGAACAGGAAGTAAGGATGCTCATACAGAGGAAGAAAGGGACGGAGCTGGAAGAAGAAGTCCAATGGAACCAGAGTTGGAAAAGCAAAGGAAATTAACAATCCAGTCAGTTGTGTTGGCTGTGTCTGGGTGCGCCAGACTCAACACCTCCACGTGCATTTTTTCTGACCATCGTTCGTGTGCACTCATTCGCTCAGCTCTCCTCAGGGACACACGAAGCTCGCTGGGTTTTCCTCGCACCACTCCCGCCCAGCTCCGGGCCGTGGCTGCGCAGGCGGAGCGCCGCACGTGCTGCCTCAGGCGCGAGGAGAGGCCCCGTACGATTGCACCTGAAACACGGTGCTGCGCCGGATGGTCGGAACTTCAGTAAGTTACATGTGAGACTTCTCGAGACTTTCTGAGCTACGGCTGTTAGCGAGGGAACACCCGCACGCCCAGCAGACGGGACGCAACCCCTGAGCTCCTCTCGCATCGCCACCGCCCCGCCTCCCCCCGGCAGCGCCGCCCCGCGCCTCACACCCCGCGGCCCAGGTGCTGCGGCTGGCGCTGCCCCGCCCCGCCCCGCCCCCCGCCCCCGGCCGCCAATGGCGGCGCTCGGCCCGAAGCCGGGCGGGGTTCATTGGCTGGAGGGCGCCATCACTCTTCCCCCCGGCGGCGCCGGGGAGGGGTCTGGGAGCGCGGCTGGCGGCGGGCGCTGCGTGTGGGAGGGCGGGTGCGCGCGCGGCGCTGTTTTTAGTAGTACCGCAAACAGCGCGGCGAGAGTGCGCGGGGCTGCGGGAGCCGGGCTGGCCATGGCTGTCTCCGCGCCGCCCGTCATCGCCGCAACTTCCAGCGGCGGCGGCGCGGGGGGCTCGGCCGGCTTGTTCCGGGCGGACCCGCTGTACTCCAGCCCCGCGGAGTCCCCGCGCCTCACCAACAGCCTCGTCAACAGTTTCCTCTCCGCGGGCGGCGGCGGGACCGGCGCGGGCGGCGGCGGCGGCGGCAACGAGTGTAAGATGGTCGACCTGCACGGTGTGAAGGTGGCCTCGTTCCTCGTGGAGGGGCAGGAGCTGATCTGCCTGCCGCAGGTCTTCGACCTCTTCCTCAAGCACCTGGTGGGAGGGCTGCACACGGTGTACACCAAGCTGAAGCGGCTGGATATATCGCCCGTGGTCTGCACGGTGGAGCAGGTCCGCATCTTGCGTGGGCTGGGAGCCATCCAGCCCGGCGTCAACCGCTGCAAGCTCATCACCAGAAAGGACTTCGAAACTTTGTACAACGACTGCACCAACGCCAGGTGAGCGCCGTGCAGCTCTGCTCCGCCCGAGGGCTGAGGGGTGCGCGCGGGGCGGGTGGGGGGAGCGCGGCGGAGCGGCCGGAGGGGCGGCGCGGCCGCCTTCCAACTCCTCTCTCCCGCAGATGGGCGGCCGGCGCTTTCCGCGCCCGCTTTGCTGTCTCTTCCCTTAAGTTCCGAGTTTCCTCCATTCCTCGCGTCGCTGAAAGTTTCGGCTCGCGGCGCAGCTGAGGGGCGGCGGCGCGCCGTGTCCGGAGCGGCCCAGACTCAAACTGTTGCTCCGAGAGCAGCCCCGCCATCACCGCTCTCTGGAGCCCGGCGGGGCCGCGTGGGAGCGCCGGCTGCTCCGTGTGCCGGAGGTGCCCGGAGCTCCGTGGCTCTTGGCACTCTCCCGGGGCGCAGCTCTTAAGCAACTTTTTTTCTGCGCTCGTTAACACACGCGTCGCCGTGTCTGAGGACTCCGGCTGCTGTGTGAAGTTCGCGCCGGTTGCGGCCCGACCCGCTTTTTTTCCTCCGCGAGCCGAAGCAGGACGGACCGCCGCGCCAGGCTGTCTGTTGTTGCAAGTTCTGTCGGCTCAGGAGACGCTCGCAGTCGGTCCGTCGGCGCTGCTGGTGCTGGATGCCGGGCGCCGCGCCGCTGTGCGCATAGTGCCCGCGGGGACCGAGCGCTGCGCTGACATCACGGCCGCCGTCCTGTGACCCCTGTGGCTCTTGTGGCTCTTACGGCCCCTTGGCTTTGCTGTCCTCGCGGACCCGGCGGCTGCTCGGGACGGTGCTGCGGGCGGTGCTCCTTAGGGCCGCTCTATGCGGAGGCGGCTCCGAAACTCGGCTGGCGTGGAAGCTGGCAGCTGAAGAAACACGCCGTTTCTTTTCAGTGACCCTGCCAAAGTTTTCGTCAGAAGAATGCGTGGTCCCGCTTGTCGATCCCTTAGATGCGTGCCGGTGTCTGCTCCCTTACAGCCCGTGATTGGGGATGAAGAAACGCTGAAGCGTGGGATGCTTGAAAAGCGTTGATTCGCGACTTTACCTTTCTTTTGGTCGCGACCTGTGGCGGCGGCAGGGAAAGGCGGAGCGGGGCCGGGCGGGGGATTGGGGGTGTGGGATGCGCGGGCGGCCGTGCAGCCTCGTGCGGGGCCGGGGCCGCTTCGGCTTTCTCTGTTTCTACCTCCTCAGGAGCAGCTGATTCCTCTTCGTTGCCTGAAATACTCCTCGCTTTTTAAAACATCTCTCGGCCTTTGCTTATATATCGCTAAAGAACACCGCTGGTTTGACGTACGGATAGCAAGGTGTTGCTGCGTTCACACTTTCAGATGCAGTGCGTGATAAACGTTATCAGCGCGTAGGAAACTTTTCTCAAGTATTGTAACTTAACGACGTTAATGGTGTTCTGTCACGCTAATTGAATGCCTAGCTTGTCACTGTATTTACAGAGCTTTTTCCTCAACAGCACAGATTTCGTGGTAGAGAAAGCTGGATGCCAATAGCTGAATATGTGTGATCTGATTTCTCATTTGCTGTGAGCTGAGTGGGGCATCACTGCAGTGCCTGGTACCAAACTAACACATGGGCTAGGGCTGTGGGCAGCTGTGCGTGCAGTGCTTGAATTCTGGATCTGGGAGCTCCAGTCTTGCAAAAATGTCATCCTTTAGTGAAAAAAACCCTTAGATATGTATTGTTTTTCCACATGACTCAGGAGTTGCTTCCAAATGAGAATATTTGTCATTGCTTTTGTAATATCTGCTTTTTTAATTCATAGAAATTTATATGTAGTTTGAACACTAGAACATGAACTTTAAAACTGTCTGAAAAAGTAATGAGAAACATTGGTTGCCGTTGTCTTCTAAGTTAGCTGTCTACCAGAAATTAACATTTCTTACAATACTATGTGCTTTAATCAACTTTTAGTTGAAATGCAAACAATTAATAAATAAGTGGAATAATAGGCATTCTGCTTAATCTATTCCGTTCCTTTTTCTAACTTGAGCTTGCCTGAGGGAAGTGTACGTTTAAGCCATAAGTTTTTGTGTGTTGGATGTATGGAAGGAGTTTTACGTACTTGGAACACAAACATCTTTGACTTTTTTTTAAAAAAAAAAAAAAAAAAGTATGCATGTTAATTTCAGCTGTGTAACCAAAATGTGCTCATCTTTGATTGCCGTTAAGAAGTGTTTTGTAACTGAATTTGGGAGCAAGGTTTGTAAAATGAAACCATTCCTTTCACTGCAAGTAGCATCTTCAACTATGTGGTGAATACAGCATCATTATGAGATTCATTAACTTGCTCAGAATATCTTCAAAGATTACTGAAATGAAGGAGCAAAGGCTTAATTTTAGCAGCAAAGAATAAGGTTTATGTAAAGTAGAAAACTATACTGTGGTTTCATCACAAAATTTACAACTGTAGAGGACGCTTCCATGGTGTCCATACATCAGTCCATAAGTATCAATATAACATGAATGTAACCGTGACGTTTCTTTCAGGGTTTTCATATTTAATGACTGTTTCCTACAGAAAAAGGACAGTATTGGTCTGCTGCTTTCATTGTGTAGTAAGAAGAGCAGTGTGTGAGATAAAATACTGCTTTTTGGGAACCATTCTAGTACAACTTTTTTTTTTTTATGATTCAGAGTCCAGTTCAGCTAATAGTTTGTGTTACTTTGCCTATTCACAGACAATAAAAGCCCTTAAAAATTAATTTAAGCAGCAAATACAGGTATTTTATGAGAAAATGAGTCCGGTTGTGTCGTCTATTAAAAGCTCCCCTCGAGTCAGCAGTACTCTGTCTTTTATTAGCAGAACGATGTCAGGATTATAATTAATGCGATCTCGTCAAGAAGCATTGCACAGAGCTTCTGTGTCTATTGATTTTAAATGCGGACATCTGATTACATAAACTTCTTTGCTTAAGTAAATATTTAGTGTGCATTCAGACTCAACCAAACTAGTGGATTTTCGGACTGGTGACATACTGAAATCAGAAACGATTCATTTCTGCTCTCTTTTCTTCATTGTGGGAGAGGTTTTCTTAAAGCGTTCTCTCGAGACTTATCACCAGCATCGTGGGTTTTGTTACAGATGCAGAAGTGAATTTTTCCACTTTCTGAGAAAATTGATTATATGCTTCTGGAAAAAATCCCTGGTTCTTTTTGGACACGCTGCAAGTCTGTGCTTGCTTGGAAGTACCAAAATGCTTAAACATTTCCAACAGAAGCGTATCTACTCTAGAGAAGCCTTGATTAAAATTCCCCTCTCTTTTCATAGCTGTAGAGCTTTCCATTTGAAGTGTAACATGCTTTTTCTCCAGAATGGAGTATTTATATGTTTCCTGCATGTGTATATGCATAATACATATGTAATTTTCTACTGAGACTTCCACAACTGAAAAATGCTGTGTTTTTGTAGCAAAGACAAAAAAGCTAAACAATTAGGTATTAATGATATTCTTGTTGCTTGCAAAGACCTTTTGAATATGCATTTCTTCTCCTCTTTTTCTTTTCACTATTTCAACCTGCAGAACTCTTCACTGTCACTTCAAATCACACAATTCTACCAAGATAAAACAACATTTAAACTCATTTGCTTTGGGAGGGAAATTGAGCATTTGCACCCAATAAGCCTGATTGTGGAGCTGCATGCAAATTGTGTTTTGATTTATCTCTTTTGCACTTTTTTCCATTTGAATTGATCTTGCATTAATTTTGCCAAGCGGCTCTGTGAGGCTGCAGATGTTGCCCTGTGTTTAATAAATCAATGAGACAGATCTGAATGAATCACTTCAGATGGATTCTCTGCTCGGTTTGATGTCTAGATGTTATTCTTAGCTTGTTATCATGACAGATGCATTAATGTTCCCATACACTGCCAGCAATGTCAAAGAGATTGAAGCTTTTAAAGTGGCGGTATCCCCTTTTCCCCCTTCTGTTAGAATAACTAAATTGCCTTTAGGAATAGGTCAAAATATAAATTTAATCATGACATTATAGTGGGGAAGATTCTAAACTTCTGATTGCGTTCTAACACAAAGTCGCACAAACTCAGTTTCATATGGAACGATTAATTGTGCCCAAATAGTGTAGATCAATATTAAAATCTAAACATAGGATGGCTCCTTAATAGAGTAACCACTTTCTCAGCATTAATATTTCATTGTAATAGGAGTGATCCAAATAAATAATATAAGACTAAAACATGTTAAAAGTGTTACTATAAATAGAATATGGTTGTGTCCAAATTGATTACAGGCTGAAGTAAGGATTTCTTTAAAAAAACAAACAAAAAACAACAACAGAAAACACTGGTTCTTTTAGATTTCACTGTGGTTTGAGTCAACGTCTTCTGTGCAAAATAAGAATATTAGTTAATTATTTTTTTTACCATTTAGTGCCGGCTGTGTTAGAGAGGTTGTCAGTCACCATTAGTTTGTGATCTGAATAGTCTGCTACCCATTATCTTGGAGCAGAACCTGTGGAACGCAAACAGCAGAAGAGGCTGGGATGTGTCTTTGTGGAATTGGTTTTGAATTCTGGAAAAGACCACACCAAGTCCTCTGCCATGAATAATGGCAATTTTTCCCCAAGTAGGCTGCACACAGTTTGCATTGCCTTTTATCTTTGATGTTTATCAAAACATGCTTGTGCTTCCTTGGGAATAGAGCAGTAGTTCGTGATTTTCTTCCATCATTTTATTAAACCAGATTTATTTCCTTTTAATGTATTAGAAGTTACTGAGACTGTTACTTTCCTGAAACTCTCCGGAACAGAAGAACTTTTAATTTTTTGTCATTAGGGCTTCTGAGAATAAATTGGAGAAACTGGCTGTAACAGATCTAGATTTATGTTGGCATTCTTGGTATTCTTGCCCCAGTAGTTTCAGTTTGATAAAGGAAACAATATATGTAATAGAAATTCACAGTTTATTCAAATGAGTGTAAGCTTTGGCATTGTTGTATTTGCCTTTCTGTGGTCAATATATCAATGTGTGGCAATAGCATTATACTTAGGAA